ATGTAAAAATTGTATACGCGCCACCAAAACAACTTAAATTTTTATATTCACATTCTTTTATTATCAATTAAAGAAAGAAAATAAAAATATTATGTATATTTTTTAAAGTAAATTATTTGGGATTTTGTTTGCCAAACGCCAGTCGATACATCAATTTTTTTAGGTTTTTTTTTTTTTTGATTGATCGACCTGAGCTGACCTTTTAGACAGGATATGGCTATAGGATGAAATTGTATGAATGTGTTCTCAATGCGTTTTTTAAGACAAGACAGTTTTTCTCTTATGATAAGCTATGGCTGATAATCATCCACTAAAAACATATGTAGATCAACTTTCAGTCGAATGAGCCATTCTGACTCAACAACAAACGGAAGGACAAAAATGCAGTATACACCTAAATAGTTGGTTGTGTTGAGCATTAAAATATACTTAAAAATTTCTAATAAAAGAAATTGGAATTAATAAATATATATAATTTAAAGAATATATCTTACCTTTATTTACATTTTTTCTCTTTTTTTTTTAATATAATTATATTTTTAATATATATAAATATATATATTAAATGTATTTAATACAAAATCGCACGGTGTTTATGATATGTGGGTAAATTTTAAATTTGCAAATATTGTTTTTTTTTCTTTTCTTTTCTTTTTTTTTTTTTTTCTTTATCATTTTATTAACTTTAATATATCCAAAAATACTTAGGTTACTACAAAAGTATTTCAGAATACATATGAGAGAAATAAACAGACGAACACCCTTTTGATTTTAGACTTATTGTAAACATCACAGAATCAATATATATATCACAGCTTTAATTAAAATTTAGTTAAATATGAGTTTTTAGCAAATGGGAGCAAATATGAATATAAAAGAAAGAAGAAAAACAATTGTTATATGAAATGTATATATAACATATCATTATCGTTATAATTATTTAAGCTACTTTTCAATATATTTGGAAGAGAATTAAAAAAAAAAAAAAAAAAAAAAAAAAAAAATCCCTAACTAAACCTAAACATAACCAGTATTTGTTACACAAGTGTATAAATGTATGAATAAAGGCATTTTAAAATAATTCAATAATATAAAAAATATAAAATTTTCTAATTGTTTACAAAAAACATTTAAAAGTCAAATGCTTTTATAAAAGGTTTTGTAAATTTCGTAAGTGAACTTTACATATATACATATACATACACGTTGGATGTTCTAATTCCTAAAATATATTGCGTTATAAATTTGAAGAAATTTTTACTTTTAAAAAATATTGAAATGAATTTTCCGCAAAATTCATATAATCGCTTTTTCCCATATATATATCATATATATATACCATATATATACCATATATATACCATATATATATCATATATATATACCATATATATACCATATATATATCATATATATATATCATATATATATACCATATAACATAATCCTGCAAATTTTTTTTTTATTTCATTTTCAACAAGGTATTGCTAACTCATATGTTATTAGTATTAAGCTATAGCAATGCCTTGTTAAATAAAACAAAAGTATAAGAATTTACATGCCATGGAGGGCAATGCGTTGGCCAAAAATCGCTTGAGAAACTAAATTAATGAAATTTTTCTTTGCATTTTTTCTTAATTCTCTTCTCATTATTATTTCAATATTTCTTTATATGACCGATTGTCTATCATTTGTCCCATGTAATTTTTTTATATTTATAAAACTACTGCGCTCATCATATGCAATTTCTTTTCAAGCGGTCGTTCACCGGAAGCATAAAAAATTTGACAAGTTGACAACTGAAATGGCTAAATGATGATAATGAAATGCCTTTACGAACTGAAGCCAAATCGAGATTATTATCGGAGTGCTTTCATTACATCTTCTAATTTAAAAAATATAATTAAAACATAAAAGCATTGTAAAAAAACAAGAAAATTTTCCTAAAGACGATGAATATAAAAATTAAATGAATTAATTTAGGGCAAATGTATCCTTAGAAAATTGAAACTAACAATTAAGATTTAGTAAGGAGACAACAATTGTCCGAGGTGGCAGTTCAGAACATCAGACCTTGTAAACACAATAAAATCAATATAAATTTTTCAAAAAAAAAAAAAAAATTAAATTAAATAAAATCAGGAAAAGCAGACATATATTGTTTTTTTTTTTTTTTTATTAATTTTTGTTACCCGTTTGCTATGCTTACTCAACATTCGTAACTTCCAAATTTTGCAGAGCAATCAACAATTCATATTTTCCGTCTACAATTAGATGGCATTTAAAAATTTCTGTCTTACAATTTAAAATAAGTCTGCAATTATTGTCGGTTTTTAAATTTCGAATTTCCATTTAAAAATTAAAAATAATATGCCAATTTTACGATTGAAAGATCTGTAACTCGATAGTAAGAAGAATATATACTTTATCGACAGCTCTAAACTCTCCACGCGTTGCAACGAGTCCATAATCCATAGCTATCGAGTTTTTTCAATATTGAAAGCTATAACCCCAAGCCCAATTTGAAATTTATCTAGTTTCCCATTACAACTTTAAAAATCGTCGTTTTCCGATCCGTTTCCTTACAAATGCAAATACACTTCGTACATAAGTTGAGTTATTATAGTCAATTTTTAGCAATGATATTTCAAAGTTATTTTGTAGATTTCTTTTCGCTCTCTTTTACGAAATCGTAATTCATTTATGAATTAAAAAATTCCTATTAATTAACATTTGAGTTTACGTATTATTAGTAGTCGCTCTCCCCAGTTACAATTTACGAGGGAATTTCATATCTTGGAAATAAATAAATGCAATTAAAGGCGCATTCGGAAATCTTGATGCTTTGCTTCGATGTTAGGATAAGTAGACTGACTGACTATAAAGAATCACAATATTAACTAATAAGAGCTTTTTAATGAGAAAATGCAATGAAAAGGCCAAAACTGGCAATCTATTATATCTATTATATATAGAAAAAAAAACAAAAAAAAAAAAATGTTTTATCATTTAACAAAATGCATAATCTAGATAGTGTCAAAATAATTTTATAAATTATTGATGATATGAATGTATTTGGGAAAGTGTTTAATTAAGCATTGCCGCTTTGGATGCTTTTTGATAATAGTGGTGCGAAGAAAATTTCGAACGGACGCGTACGTACTGTTTTAAAAACTCTTATTTATTACATTTACAGTTTACTTTTTCTCTTTTTTTTTTTTTTTTTTGTTTTTTTTTTTTTAACATTATTGACTATAAGTCAAATATGTCTTTATGAGCTGAAATCAAAAACTAGTTAAAATAAAGGAATTTTTTAATTTTTAGTTTCAACTCACAAAGGCAGCATAAAATACAATTAACAATAGCCAAATAAATATAACCTTATAAAATTCAAGTTTATTAGATACGAAGAAAATTTTGCAAAATTTTTCAAATTTCTGACAGAGTTTTTGATCAAAGGGTATTGTTAGAATAAATGCAAGCGTTGTTTCCATTTTGGTTTCATTAAGTTACGCTTTTCTCTCTTTTTTTTTCGATTCGATTTCCATCGAAATATGATATAATAATATGTGTGGTCATTTTGATTAGTGAATACAAAAATATACTCTTTTCATTTTCTTTTTTATATTATTTTTAGATAAAAAATTTAAATTTGTTTAAATTTCTAAATTGCTTTAATTAAGAACAACAGGAACTCGTTTTGTTGTAGCAGCTTGAACTATCTGACAAAGAAAATACTAACTCTCTTTCTAATCGAATCTTTTTCTATGCACATATATTGGGACATTTATTAAAAAATAATAATGTCATTTTTATAGTTATAGTTATATTTATCAATTAAAAAAAAAAAAAAAACGCAAATAAAGCATAGATCTAAATTCTGTGAATTACGTTTTATACGCCTGTAGCGTAAATTATTTTGATAAATCCCCAATAACGGTAATCTCAAAAAAATAATGTTAAGTAAACATTTTTTTCACCTTACGAGACAATATTTGAAAATATAATACAAAACGGGTCAAAAACAATTTTGTTCGATTTAAGAAATCATTTACCATACACGAAACATATACCTTCGACTTTGGTGAATGAATTTTCATTATGAACACTTGTCTTATTTAAATTTAAAAAAAAACAAAAAAAACAAAAATAACATAAAAAAAATCTACATAATTATAAGATAATTTTGTTAAGTAAATATATAGTAGATAGACATCATTCATAAGTGATTTTTAAGAGAGTATTTATATGTTTACAAAAGCAAATGAAAATCGAAGACAAATATGTTTGTCGAGAGATCTTAAGCGAGAACCCGATGGCCGTAGTAGTACATAGTGGCCAATTAGGTATCGTTTTAAATATAGTAGTTAAAAAAAAAAAAAAAAAAAAAAAAAATCAAAAATCATTATAAGAGACTTGGCGGCCAATAAACTGTAAAAAGTTCAATTCACAGATAGTTCTTTTTTACTTTTGATAATATGAAGAATGATTTAAAAATAAATTATTTAAAAACTTAATATATAAATATATAACTTATAAAAGTTTGGAAATTCTTTAGTAAAAGTATGAAAAAAAAAAATAAATAAATAAAAAAAAAAAAAAATAATAATAATAATAATAATAATATAAATTCAACTACAAACTACATTAGTATTAAATATTAGTTATATGACTGTTTAAATAAAGCAATATTTAATAAACATGTAAACGTATTCGAAAATGAAGAGCTGTTATAAAAAATTGTTAGCTATATTAGAATTTAAATAGAAAAATCATGTTAATTAGAAAAAGAAATGAATGGGGAGAGAAACAGGTTTTTCTTAACAATAAAGAAAAGAAATGAAAAGAATGATAAAATACTTAAACACTTTTATACGCTTACGAACTAGAAGTCTAATGTTTTACATTCAAGTGTTGAAAATACAAAATGCACAAAAATTTGAAATAACAATTCGAACAATTGCTTGTCTTTTCTTTTTTTGTTTCTTTTTTTTTTTTTGTTTGTTATTATTTTATATATTTTTATTAATAAACCGATATATTAATTTACAAACAAATTTGTGTATGCGTAGTAGATAGATAGGCGAATAATTTCAGAAATTAATGAATGCTGATAGATTGATTGACTGATTGGATTGATTGATTGGATTGATTGATTGATATTGGAATCTTGGTATTTCCCGCTGCTGAACATTGAACCTGGCTGGTGTGTACAATGCAAATTTGTTAATCATTACTCCACCTCCCTCACCACGCTATTAAGTTAATCTTATTTGGTAACTTGAAGTCGCATTGTTTTTATTCATTCTTACTTTAGAGTTTGTCTATTTCTAGTTTCCTTTTATATATCTTATTTAACGGTTCTTTTTTTCGATTTATTTTTGGATTTGGATGATTCCCGTAGACATGTGACCTGCCCATCTTAAAATGATTGCTGCTACTGATTTAATGTGGCTGCTGCTATACTCATGATCGAGGTGTGGTGATTTCTAATACAATTTATACAGAGATATTGTGTAATTATATTTTAGATATATAAGTTTTTATATGTAAAAGTTGTAGTTTAAGTTATTGTTTTTACGGTAAATATCTCAATAAAAGATTTTTCTCTCGCTAGCCGTTTAATGTCTGGAGCGATGTTCTCTATCGCGCTCACGATCACGATCACGTTCACGGTCACGATCACGTTCACGATCTCGTTCGCGATCGCGATCCGAAGAACGATAACGTTCCTCATAGTAGCTGCGTTTTGACGGAACTTCGCTTCCTGCTTCGGTGGCCGGTTCAGGCGATTTACGTGTTCGAGTTGAACGACTGCAACTGTCATCCCTATAATGATCATTGCCACTGGGACGATCACGTTCACGACTACGTGAACGCTCGCGATAACTAGAAGAATATTTAAATCATATGTATAAAGAGAGGTAAAGAGAAGAAATTATAATTCACGAATATTTGAGATATCCACCACATACAAAGTAAAAATGAACTGACTCTGAAATTTCCGAAGAATATATTGTCAGAGTTATTTTATGCATACTGCATTATGAGGTACTAAAGTTTTTTCTCGACTAAATGTCTAAATGTTATTTTTTTTTATACTATCCATTTTAATTGTGATAATTTATGTGTTGGATCAGCACTGTATTATTAACAAAAATTTTCTTGCCAACACTTAGGAGAAATATATCTGAAAATTTTTGCTATTGCTTATTTATTTATTTATTTTTTTTTGTGTTGCGAGCTTCTTCTAGTGGTAGATACGAATAATTTACGATCATAATAATAGTGACTTACCCGCCATCACGATCCCGATCCCTCTCACGATCGCGTTCTCTTTCACGTGAACGTTCCCTGTAACGAGATGATGAGCGTTCACGACGTGGCCTCTGACGATGTGATCGCTCCCGCGATCTAGACCTTTCACGTCGATTGTAACTCTTCGTTTCAATGCCGTGCAATGTATCTTGAAGTGAACTGATCAATATTTTGCAGCGTTCATCGTGAGCTACTTTGGATTGTTTGATCAAGGATATAGCAGTTACTAGAGTCTCAATGGCGCTCGAGTATTCCCCTGCTGCTGCATCAGATACTGCCCTTGCTATGGCCGAGCTGCTGACGGTGCGGTTGCGACCCATTATTTCTTCGAATTCGACTTCAGTTAGCTGCGGTCCCGCTAGCATAGGTTGTTCTGCGAAAGGACCTTGAGGTTTTACAGGACCTGGCGGCCCTTGCCAGGGTCCTCGCGGTCCAGCTTGTTGGGTAAAGTGTGGCGGAGGACCATGCTGTGGCGGCATATTCATCGCTTGCTGAGGGCCGGGACCGGGAGGACCATGTGGAGGTCCACCGGCTAGAGGTGGGCCACCTGGATGTTGAGGTGGGCCGCCTCCAGGTTGGCTAAAGAATGCTGGATTTACATGCGGTGCTGGACCACCAGGTCCGGCATGTGGACCACCGGGAGGTGGCCCACCAGGAGCACCCATCTGTGGTGGACCTCCAGGAGGACCTCTTGGTGGTCCTTGCATATGTGGCGGCCCTTGTGGCGGAGCACCAGGCGGCACTTGAGGTGGAAAACCTCCATGCATAGGTGGTCTCCACTCTCCAGGACGAGGGCCACGCATTGGTATTCCGCCAGGAGGTCCCTGAAACTAAATACACATAAAGCGTCACATCTAATTTAAAAATTCTGAATGAAAAAAAAAAGAAAAGCATAAGTAAAAATCCCTCTAATTGAGTGGAAAACAAAGCGACGCCTTCTCGCAATTATTAGTTTCATTATATTGACTGCATATTTTTGTTGCATATTTAGCGTCTTATCTCAATTATCTGAATGCACACATTTATCTCACTTTCTAGCGGTAGTTATAATTCTTTACCATTTGTGGACGTTGCGGAGGCCCATTGAGCAAAGCCGGCCTTGGTCCGTTCGGACGCGGCTGTCCGGGCCATTGGGGCTGTTGTTGACCAAAACGTAAGGGTCCTTGCATACCCTGCTGCGGTACCATAGCTCCACTTTGATGCATTGTTGGTTGCTGTATAAAATGATCAATGAATAAAGAAATTATGACATTGATGAATTTGACGCGAATATATAAAAATAATTATATTTTATTATAACTTTATATAACATTATTCGATCCACATTGTTGCTTACATTAATATAATTATATTAAAGTATTTGTTAATGAAGTTAGTAACTATGCAAATCGAAACGAAAAATTATAAAAATTAATTTCATACGAAGAAATTGAATTCGGTAATTATTTTATTACACCGAACTCGATATATAAGAATTTTTCAAAAGGAATTTTCTTTGTTACATTCCGACATTTATTAAATATATATAAGTACGGCAACCATACGTACTGGATTATGACTGGATTATCATTCATACAAATTTTCGGTATTTATGTTGTTATCATTTTTGAAATATTATTTAATTTACGTGATGAGGCGTTTGAATGCTGAAGACATTTAGGCGCAAGAAATTTTCATATAGGAAAGTTAAGAAAACGGAGCGACCCTAATTATTTTATTTCTGGACTGACAAAAATTCGATAGTCAATTTTTATTTATTTGGACTTTAGATAATGATGAAATCATCTACAGTTACGACAACCATATTTCCATAAATCCCTTACTTATCCCTTTGCTTATGGAAAATTACAATTCTCAAAATAATCTTTATGCACTTTACTGAGAGTATTTTTTTTTTCTTAAGTCTAATTGGCAGATTGGTATGTAGAAGACAAGGCGCAATTTTCACTAGCTAACTGATTAAAATTCGAAAACGTTTCAGAATCTGACAGTCATTTTTGTGCTTTACAAAGAGAATAAAATAATAAAATATACTTCCGATAAATAATGCACACGTATACTGCAATCAACTTGATTCGAAATTGCTTTCAGAATTCATTTCAAACGAATACTTTTTAAAAATATTTTGAAAAAAATCACACACGGAAAAGAGAAAAATAATCGATTTAAGCTCTGTATATTGAAACTGAAATTAAAACGAAAAAAAGGCAGGAAGAGAGAAAACAGTAGAAAACGCGTCAATATGTCAAGCATGGGAATAGACGAGCCTGAAACCGAAGAATTTCCAGATATGGATGTCGTGTATGACAATTTGCCATCTTGCAGTACATCGCCTCAACAGAAACGTTTTCTTGTAAAGAAATGGCGAGCCCAAGCTCTATGGTCATGGGATGTCGCCGTGGACAATTGCGCCATATGCCGCAACAAAATAATGGATTTGTGCATTGAGTGTCAAGCTAATCCCTTATGTTTGACTACCAAGGACGAATGCACTGTTGCCTGGGGCGCTTGCAATCATGCCTTTCATTTCCATTGCATTTCGCGTTGGTTGAAAACGAGGCAAGTCTGTCCACTAGACAATAAAGAATGGGACTTCCAAAAGTATGGCCGTTAAAAGGAGAAATTAATTGTGTTAATGCATATGTTTCTGCGGGTCTTTTTTATGTACATTTGTATACAAAATTTGTGGTCTTTTTACAAGAGAGAACAACAATAATAAATGTATTTAGAAAAATTTTCCAAATGTATATGATTTTAATATACGTACATAGACATATTTATATATGTCGGTAGACTGGCATACTGGCAAAGATAGTTCTATTTTAACGTCTATTAGTTAGGGTTTGGTTGTATTGAACTAAATATTTGCACCAAGAAAGTAACCGACGAGGCATGGTCTTAAAATTAAATTTGTTGTTGTAGTTCGGACACCTGTAATCGGTAAAAATTTTCAAGAATTCTTATGGTTTCAACAAAAAATAATTGTATTTTAAGTGCGAGCAAGACACAGCAAAGAATATATCGTAGAACGAATCATTTCGTACCGTCCATCCTCTTATCAATCAATTGCAGATCAAATATTTCCACAAACACGCAAAAATATCCCCAAAAGAGATAAGATTTTGTATGTGTCAGCATAAATAGCGAAATCGTTTAAGAATCGTTTGCGTTGTTGCAAACATTCACACGCTTGTTGAAGTTGTGATTACGACTGGAGTAAACTTGATTGGAAATCAGAAAAATCGATTCTCTGATGTGATCATAATTACTATAAATATGTCTAACGTCCCCCTTATTTTCAAAAAATGTGAGAAATTTAGGCTCAGAGCTCTAATGTGAATTTGACACGTTTCCTTAACACAATCTCCACGTCCCAATCAAACAAAGAGAACGACCGCAATTAGCAGAAAATATAAATATATGTAATAAAATGAAGTAAAATGCATGCAAATATGAATAATTATATATAAAGTATAGAATAAATTTCATATGGAATACGATATAATATAATTAATTGATGTATCAAGTGAACGTCTTCACTTAATCTTATCTTGCAATCAAATATCGTACGACAATCTAGCGGTAAATGGTAGATGGTGTCACTAGGCATGACTAGGCAAGTTGAATATAGGTCTTCTTCTTTGTTTTTAATGTCTTTCAAAATAACGAAGGAGCGTTCGATTAAAAAAAAAAAAACGACAAAAATCTCGAATCGTCCTAAGCTATAAAAAAAGCGCGACCATCTACGCAATTTCTACAAATAAATCGCTACGGACTCATTCTTAACAATATTTGACTTTCTTATAGAAAAAAATTCAAATTTCTTTTAATTTATAAAATTTTTAAAAATCAAGCTAATAAATGTAAGAAAGCTTTTTAATCGGAATATTAACAGCCAGATACGAGCGAAACACTTAAAAACGATATTAATCAGTGCGAGATTGACACAATAATGGCTAACTTGATTATACCGGGTTATATAGCAGACTTTAACACTTTCGCTAAGACAAATTTCTAATACAAGTCAAAAATTACAAAGATATTTATATTCAGAAGGTATTGGGCACAAGACAATCGACCATTGCTAGGTCGATTAAAACTGTTTCTGCACATAATATTCAGCTAAGCTTGATCATTTGTAGTTTATTAATAGTAATCAATTCTTTTGAATTATTTCAACAATTCAGTGGTTGTGAGTGAGAGTTGCAGTGTCAATTTTTAACGGACATTCTCTAATTAATTAAAATATACGTACTGTCATAGTAATTCAATAACAACTCAAATAATCCTTTAGTAGTTATGAGTTATGGAGTCCATAAGGACGATTCTTCTCAAATCGAACTTTTAAATATATCCACCACTTAAACAAAGTCATTATATTTATGATTTGCATCTATTGTGCGTATCGTAAGTCGCTGACAAAAAGCTGTTCCACAGTTTTTGTTTTGAAAAAGAGGATGATCATGTATTAAAAAAAAAAAATAATAATAATAATAATAATTAAATAAAAAAAAAAATTCTAATATTCAATACGAAATTTTACGTGCGTTTTCCTTAAAAGTTCTCCTAAAAAGTATTATTTATTAATAATTTTTTGTGCTTTAATATAATGAAAAAATTGAAATTTTTTCCAAGATTTTGAAATAACAATTTGACAAACTTTTCACAAAAACTTCACGTAGAATTGTGATTTTTTCAATGCACAATTTTTTTCATTACTTTCGATGAAAATTTTGCCCAAATTTTTGACAAATTTCGATTGAATAATTTTTTGCATTTCAGAGATATTACACAAAAGAAAATTTTAGAAAACATAGATGAAGATTAACTATCAATTTTTCAATAAGCCAATCATGACCACCCTAGGAAGTGTACTAGATTTCCTAAATATTTATAAAGCTTAAAACTGAGACGTATACAGCAATTGTAGTAAATACTCTTTATGAGTTCAATTTTCACAAGTGTCTTCTCCTTATATTCATCGATCGTTATAGTCATTATAATCGTAAAATTTTAATCTTAAGGATCCATTTTCACTCATTTCAAGCCTCAAATTCAAAAATATGCGAATAAATAGTATAAAGCTTTCCCCCTATTATCTACGAAAAATTTTACACTTAACGAGACATACTCTGCTTTGTTTTCTTTTTTTTTTTTTTTTGATTTTTTCACAATACGTTATTACGAGTTATGTCAAATATTTTCTTTTGAGATGTTTATGTGTGTTGGTGCGTTTGTACGTATACCCTACGCTTTAGATACGTTATGCTGAATTAATAACTGTCATATAACTTTTGTTATGTTTTATTATATAATAAGATTCTTATGATTGCAAATAAATTTGTCGCACTTATTTAACTTTTTGGGATATATTTAGTAAAAAGAAAAAAAAAGAAAGAAAAAAAAAAAAAAAAACGACCCAATATGATATTATTATTAAGAGATTCGATCTAAGCCGAACATAATCGCTTTCTTTGTTTAGTTGTTTAAATATACATATTGGAATTGGTATTGATTCTTAACGCAAAAGATATATATATAAATATACATATTGGAATTGGTATTGATTCTTAACGCAAAAGATATATATATGTGAAATAAATGCGATTACCGCTTTAAGCCTAGTACGTATCTTGAGATTTCAATCCAATTATTGAAATATTGCTTCAAAATTTATTTCATTAATTTTTATTTGCATTTTTGTACACAGTTTCTTTACATTGTATTTTATTGGCGAGAAAAACAAAAAAAGATTATAAAAATTCATTGTAGATTTACTTAATTATTGTAACTTGATGCAAGCAAAATTGTTTCTGCATTGTTAACAATACATTTGTTGTTGTGATGCGAGTGAGGTGAAGTAAGAGTAAAATATCACACAAAGACAAAACATTACTTGGCATGTTGTAATTTAAGAAATATGATGCAAATATTACAAATTAAAAATTTCTTTTAAATATGATAAGCGATTAAATCAAATCAAATTTCGTCACTTAAGTTTATCAAAGTTTTGTATAATAAATTGTATTGTAAATTAAAAATTATTTGTGGACTACACGCACAAAATTCGTGTAATTGGTATTTTTTACAACAATTCGATTATGTTAGTTTATTTACATTATTTGGTATCAGTTAACCGCTTCTGAACAAGTGCCAATCATAGCAGCAGCTCCGTTCAAGAGAATTCTTTCGTGTAAATAACCAACAATAATATCACAGATAATCTTGTGTTTAAGAATAATTTATATAATTTGTACATAAATAAAATGAGTTGCTCTGAGATACTTAGAGAAGTTTTTTCAAACAAACCAAACAAAACAATTAAAGAGAATGCGACACAAACTTATAACAGGCATTCAGAACAATTGAGATTAAGATAAAAGAAATTAATCTTTATGTATAGAGAATCTTAGGATCAATGTGTGTATAATTAGTAAGCACACATACATAATAATAAAATATAAATGAAACAAATAGGATAATTTGAAAAATTTTTGTAAATAAAATTTAAATATACATACTGACTACATAGTCGATTTCGATTAAATAGTATATAATCAAACAAAAGTAGGAAATATTGAAAATTTATGTAAAACATACCTGCATACGTGGTGGCGCACCATTCGGTCCCACAGGGGGACCTTGTGGCATATGTTGTGGACGATACTGTCCGGGGGGCATATTGGGATTCATAAGTCGTGGTTGATGACCTGGAGGTACGCTTTGAGGTCCTGAATGCGGCGGCATAGGACCAGCGGGCATTAGGCTCGGTGGCGCTGGACCTCGTGGCGGCCCATTTTGTTGCGGTGGCGGCACAGGCCGTGTCTTCTGAAGGCTCTCGAATTGATTGAGGGCCTGTTTTGTAGGATAGGTGACCACTGGCATTTGACCGTGCAATTCTTTCTTGGGCAATCTCTCTAATACTATACGTAAGCTGCCTTCTGAACCTAATGATACAACACTGAAACCTTTGGACTGTCCATTTGCACGATTTTCAAAAAATTTTACTTCTTGAAAATCTGTAACACCAATATCGCGCATGGCATTGGAAATATCTTGGTCTGTTGTCCACTGCAAACATGCCAAAATAATAATAAAAAAAATAATATATAATAATCATAGTGACAAACAAGCTTACCCAAGTTAAATTGCCTACATAGAGTTGAAAACGACGGCCAACAGGAGGTTGAGCCAAACCAGCCCCAGTTTGATGATACACTCCATTAGCTCCAGGAGTTGTAGACGACGGTTCTTGATTACTGACCGTAGCGCCTGGATTCTCGTTCTCGGTGACAGCCACCGCCGAAGTTGTCGTTGCAGCCGGTGCAGCATCAGGTGGCCCACCTATATCATCATACAAATCTACTCCCTCACCCGCAAACTCATCCTGTTATAAAATAATTTATAAATATATATATATATATATATATATATATATATATATATAAATATAAAATATAAATATAAATATGTATATATATATGTATATAAATATATATGTATATATATATGAACATATATACATATACAAACATGTATATATAAGCCAATATATTTGTACATAAATATACATACGCAAATTGTACATGTACAGACCTGAGTTTGGGTAGTAAAATCTTTATCTAAATCTTCGGCGTACAGATCCAACACTACGCCGTCAGCCATTTTTGCCACTTCAATCACGAACAAATTGAATGTCTTGCCTAATAACTAAATTTTCTTAAAAGTTTTTAATGTTTTCCCGACCACGCTTTTATGATTTTCTTTCTTTGAAATTTTTTTTTTACATACATATATACACGCGTCCCGATTTCTTAACACACCGGGCGCTCTGGTGTATAATTGTCAAATTTTAGGTTTTACACTATTTTCAATATATTTCTATATAATGATTTCACACAATTCCCTAAAATATTTTAATCAAGCGCAACATAAGATTATTACAAATCGCATTTACTCAATTTTACATGAGCCAATTGTAATAAAACTATCTGCTTCAAAACGTTGATTAAAAATTTTCAGCAGCGTAGAGAAACTTTCTGAACACACAAAATGGCTTACCATAGCTGAAACACAGAGATGTCTTCAATAATGCAACAAACAGGGTCGTTTCCAATGCTTGATTATATAACAAATCTCACAGTATTATGGACGCTGCATAATAGAGCTTGGTCTACATTTCCACGAAATCGCCACATATTTGAATTGTAAATTTTTCATATCAACCTTTATATATTATTATCTATCTGTATAAATATTACATACATAACCGATAAATCTATAAAATTTATAAAAGTTATAAATTGAATGTCGCTCCCAGACATGGGAATATAAACGAAGGTTCATTATATCAGCCCTCTATTATTGTCCAATAATAGCATGGATGCTTGTTTTGTGTTAATTATAAATATTATTATTTCTATCATAAATAAAGCAGGTCAAATTTTTGAGTTTCACTAAACTCACTTAAATAATTTTTTAGGTTAGGGTAGGTATGCTTTTGCAAATTTTTATTACAGTCTTCTCCGGAAATTAGATATTCCTTTCTAATTCACACCGCTTCTTTGTATCAGGAAAAATTATTTTCATTCCCTGAATATCAGAGAGAAGACTTGCTAATAACAAATCAGTTTTTTGCATTAAAATTAAAAAGATAATTATTAATTTTAGACGATCAAGAAGTGGAATTAAAGTAACCCCCTCTTCTATTTGTATTATTGTTTGATACAAGCTAACTCCTGTTTTTCCTTGCATTGTTTGCATTAAAATTGAATACATTACTTCCAGTCATGTGTCGATCATACGCTTTCTCATTGTGTTTTACCCTAAATGCATACAGCGTATGCCACACCATTTGTTTTCGAATCTCACCGTTTGCTTGTTTTATTAAAGAGCGGTATTCGAACACAAAGTCATGGCCAAGCGTAACATATATGCGTAGGTTTAGCAAAATAGTGTTGTTTTATTATAATGAAGTGCTGAATGTGATGGGATTGACACAATGTAGCTTCACTAATATTCCCACGTTTATATATAATAATATATCGCACCTCTGTATACAATATATAAAAAAATTTATAAATTAGTTTTATCTTCCTTTTATGAAAAATTTATTATCCATTTTTTTAGGCTTTTGAGAAGCTATTTTTTCTACAAATTTTGAAGATTTCTTCTTTAAAGCAAATTATTAGAGAAATAATAATTTTTTAATAAATTAAAAAAACATAGAACAAAATAAACTTGGAATGAAGTAATTATACTCACGTCCGTTGAAAAAATAACAAAAACTTTATCACCAAAAATCTAACTACCAAGGAATCGTCTAGTATTGGTGAAATAATTGAAAGGTGCTTCGCTATAGCTATCATAAAAATGGTGCAAACTTTTCTACGTAATAGCTCATAGCAAAACTGGGCTTGCATTCAAAGGAACTGAAGACCTCACACTGTATATACGGCCGGTATTTCGAAGGGGGATATTTTACTTCAATCAAGTTAAATTTCAAGGTATTGCCGACATTATGCCTAGATATGTTTACACACTGGAAGCAGATTATCAATTAAGCAGTCAGGACGTCGGTAACGCTCCTTATATAAACGAAAATGACTTAAGAATTAATTCTGATAATAAAGCAAGCACACCGGAAATCTCTGAAACAAAACAAACGGAAGGGCAGACACAAAGAAGTACTATTCAGGATATACCATATGTGCAGTTATATTGAGAAAGGTGCGCTGTAAAAATTATTTGACTTTCATGAACAATTCCGAGCATAAATATATAATTCTGAAATATAAATAATATATATAAATAGGCGTCGTGTAGAATAATCCATATGGAATATGGAAAATTGAATTTAATAAATTGAAATTAATAAATGTATAAATAAAATAAATTAATTAAGGATAAATTAGATAAAGATAAAAATAATTTATTTTAATAAAAAAAAATTCTCTATATGTCTCGATATGAAAGCATTTAGCGAACATCATATTTAAAATTCTTCAATGTGTATTCATGAATGAAAAGAAAACAAATTATATATATACCCTATATATATGCAAGTTTGGTCTTTCCCATACACACAAACACACACTCTATCTGTATACCATAGCGCATATTCACTTAAAAACACAGAATTTATATGCTTCCGCTTTACAAACGTTTAAGAATATGCGACGGTATATCGCGAAACTATTAATAGAGCCTTAGCCCATACAAATAATGGGAACGAAAGAAAAATGTGAAATGGCAAGTTAACATCGTTACTAGTGTTATTCATAACGGGAAAATGAAACTTGCATAATAATTTCTTAGTATGAATATTAGACAAAATGAAGGACCATTTTGATATTTCGTTGTCGCAGATATTACTAACAAAATATATAATGCGGCAAGGTTCCTGCTTTTACTATGGTTTAGTTACGCAAAAATCCCTATTTCGCGAAACTAACAAATTGGGCTGACACTATGAAGCGTCATACTCACAAGTGGCACACACAAGGGGTAACCGCACTATCTTACAGTTTTATAGGAAAGTGTAAAGAAAAACATAAGGTTTTAGAGCCAAAATTAAGGAAATCAATGTAACCATAAACAACAAATTTATAAAAAATAACCATAAGGACATAAACAACCTTGTTTAGTGATAAAGAAGATTGAGTAGATAAAAAATTTATGAAAAATGAGAATAGGTAAGATCACTTATTGAAGCAAGTGACGTTGACGCAGTTTTTTTGACATTCGATGTGACCAAAATCTGAGGGATCATGACAAATTTCACGAAACTGTAAGAATGAACCCGTTTCGATTTTTTATAGGAATTTCTGGAAAATCAACTTCATAAAAATTCAATTCGGTAGCCCATTTCTGCCAAGTGTAGACTTTTTCTTACACTCATGCAAGTATTTCTATATGAAGAATACATTTAAATTCATTTGAATGAATTGCACTTTCTTTTATTTCTTACAAAATTATGAATGGTATGAACTAAAACAGCAAATTACATAGTATAAAAAAAATATGCGTTAGTCTTACCTAAACGTAAATTAGATAAGTAACTTTATATTTTAAAAGAAACGATTGTCATTTCCTGTGCGTTTTTTTCTTTTCGTTTTATTTGTCTGTAAGCATGCAAAACCATATGATTTATCGATTCCCGTAACGTTTTGTGGAAAGTCGCCAGAATTGATTCCCAGCTCAAAAATTGGAATGACGGCTCAACATGTCGGACTCCATAGTGATAATGTTCAGCACTATTTTTCAAACCATAATATTCTATTCAAGACCCATTTGGAGAGAATTCGCCCAATTTTATATAAAAAAACGTCAAATTTGCCAACACAAAGTTCTAAAAATTGTATAAAATTGTGTTTGGCAAATGATTCAACTATATTCAATTGAGAAAATCGAGTTGCTCCAAACCAGAATTAATAAACATACATTCATTCATGATATATATTCAATATAATGTATATGGTTACAGGTGTCATCGATAGAAAATAGCCAAGGCATTTTAGGTGACTGTTTATCTATGTTGAATTATTTACATGAAATATGATTAATATTTTTCTATATTTAAGGGTGCAAAATTTTTGCTATGATTACTAAAGTATATTATGATTTTCAAAGCTTAACCGAAAGAAACTCACAATTTTTAACTTTTCGATAATTGCCAAAAATGCAACTCAGTTGCTTCGATAATTGGCAGCACTGATTAGAAAAATAGGAAGAGACAATTTGAAGAAAACATTTTCTGTTGTATTTTGCAAAAAAAATTTCATATTTAATTTAATGACATACACAAAAGTGGAAAAAGTGTTGATGCAAAATTTTATTTGTCAGTAGATATTCGCACGGACAAATATTGTTTTTGTTTGACTGAAATAAGCGGTAGGAAAAAATTTACTCAAAAAAAAAAGAAAGGTTAAGCACATCATTTTAACACATTGACAGCACATAAGAGTGGGAGGAAAAAAAGGATATTTTTGCCAGTGTACAGTTTCAAAAGGAATTGTCATTGTGGCGTCATGTGGGACTCCTCGATGTTCCTAAGTACCCTTACGCCTAAATTTTATGTGGCTTTGACGGGCACGTCAAGTTTGATCTCTGGATTAATATTAATATTCGAATGGTGGTATTTTCGAAAATATGGCACGTCGTTTATAGGTAAGTTACGATTAACTCTATAAAGACAGATATTCTAATTTAAAATTCTGTAGAACAAGTTTCCATCAACCATATAAGTCCTTGGATTAATGGTGGCGACACTTCCTCAGAAACGAACGGAAATGCTAGCGGAACCAGCTCTAGCAGTGGTTCCAGTAATGGTGGTAGTCCGCCTGGCGGTCAACAAATGCCGGAGTGCAAAGTTTGGCGTAACCCCCTCAATCTTTTTCGCGGTGCAGAATATCAACGGTTTTTCTGGGCCACTAGCAAAGAACCATTAACTTACTACGATATGAACCTTAGTGCTCAGGATCATCAAACCTTCTTTACTTGTGAAGGAGATGTCCGCAAGGAAGAATATGAAATAATGCAGACGGCTTGGCGCGAACGTAATCCTGTGCAACGTATTAAATCGGCTCATAACGCTTTGGAAATCAATCCTGATTGTGCTCCCGCTTACATTCTGCTAGCTGAAGAAGAAGCCACGACAATTGTGGAGGCTGAACGCATATTGCGTTCAGCTTTAAAGGTTGCCGAACAAAATTATCGTAAATCTCAAGCCACTCAACATCAAGGCCCTATAGCGGAAGGTATGCATCGTCGTGATACTAATGTACTCATTTACATACGACGTCGTTTAGCTATGTGTGCTCGAAAATTGGGAAAACTAAAAGAAGCTGCAAAAATGTTCCGCGATCTTACCAAGGAAATCCCTTCCATTATGAATGTGCTTAACATTCATGAGAATCTCATTGAAACGTTATTAGAAATGCAAGCTTATGCAGACTGTCAAGCAGTTTTGGCTAAGTACGATGATATATCTCTACCCAAATCGGCCACTATTTGCTATACGGCAGCTTTATTGAAAGCGCGAGCGGTAGCTGATAAGTTTTCACCAGATATAGCATCCAAGCGAGGACTTAGTCCAGCTGAAATGTGTGCAGTGGAAGCAATACACCGGGCAGTTGAATTTAACCCTCATGTGCCCAAATACCTGCTGGAGACCAAGCCTTTGATCTTACCACCTGAGCACATCCTTAAGAGAGGTGACTCTGAAGCTTTAGCTTATGCCTTTTTTCACTTAAAACATTGGAAAAATATTGAAGGCGCACTTAATTTGTTGCACTGTACTTGGGAAGGCACTTTTCGAATGCTTCCCTATCCATTAGAGCGCGGTCATCTCTTCTATCCATATCCCACATGCACAGAATGTGCTGATCGCGAGTTGTTGCCTGCTTTTCATGAAGTGTCCGTATATCCAAAAAAAGAATTACCTTTCTTTATACTATTCACGGCTGGACTGTGCTCATTTACCGCTTTGCTGGCTTTGTTGACGCACCAGTATCCGGAACCAATGGGCTTTTTAGCGCAAACTGTACTTACTTGGATATCGTACCCTTTTCAATTACTGAAGGAACGCGTTGAAGCTTTTTGGCCCTGTAACTTGTTGCAGCATTTGTCACGTGTCTAAACACAAATTTTTGCATAATGCAATGTTTCCTCGCCTTTTACACACAATACAAATTTTTGCCAATTTAAAGAATAAAAGTACGAAACGGCCATTAATTCTCCGGGTAAACGTCGTATATTCAAACATTTAATGTTTAGTTCTAATTGCATCTTATATATCTTACGTTCCGCTTATTTCTTTTAAATATTTCTTTATTTTTGTTTCATAATTATTTCTGTAAAAAGTATCAATGAAAGATGAAGTAATGGCTTCATTTAATTTATTTTTGCTACAACAAATTATACGCGAGTATTTTCGCCTGTCACTAAATTTAACATTGTCTTTTTTTTTTTTGTTCCTAAACACGATTATACTCTAACAAGTGTTTGAATAACAATCTTGAAGACAAAATTTGCTCTAAAATTTAAACTTCTATACATAAATATAACCACAACACGATACATATTTAAAAACAAGATCAAAAGAAGTAAAGAAAATTAATTAAAAAATACAAATACTAATGAAAATAAATAAACCGGATAAAAAATTTGTATTTCTCGTTTAAATTTGAAAATATAAACTGAAAACAAAAGCTATATATGGCGGAGAATTTACGTATGTATTGTGTTCAAGGGAAATGCTAAAGATTTTTGAAACATTTATTTTTCTTTTAAATTACGTAATTTTTATGGTTTCAACACAATATTGCCCTTAGTAACAATTTAAAAACTGTTTTCTTTTGACATAGATAGCTGTCTAAATCAATATCAATATTGATTTGAATAAAAAAAAAAAAAAAATACTCGAATTGGCAAATGGAGCGAATCGTCCTATTAATTTGTATGGTCATAAAGGATACCTTGGTCAAAAAATCGAAACTACTATCTGTGCCGAAGATCTTTTATGGAAATGCGTATGTTTCAATATCTTTGTCTAATGTGTTTCAACGTGAGAAATTTAGTGTTTCAAGAAAATTCTATGCTATATATAATTTCCCCGGTAGCTAACGCTTGACGATGTATAACTATAACTTAAAACTGGTAAATAAACTGCTCAATATGTAATCATTGTACACACAATTTGTTTGGGGCTATGAATTGTGAAATTATAAAGATTTTGCAGATTTTTATGCTCCGTTCAGATCTCAAATCGCAATATAAGAAAAGGAGGGAAGCTACATTCTGTTTTGTTTGAAATTTCTTACTTAACTTATAAGAAGTCACCGATCTCATTTCGAAGCACAGTTAATCATTACCGATAGTGAGAATTTTGAAAATATCATAGGGGTAATCACGTATCTGAAACTCAGCTGATGTTTTCACTTAGTTTCGCATCGCGTATGTGATAGCATTCAGTACAGCTGTTAAATACACTCTCCCATATTTGCCCAGTTAAACGAAAACAAAAAAACTAACGTTCGGCATTAGTTGGGTTGTTTAGAGTTGCCTTTATACTCGAAATATGGCTGTAAATTTGGGATAAAATAAGTGCCAAACAAAATTGTTTAGTTACAAAAAGCTGAAACAAAGCACACATTTTAAATATATGGAAGATAAACAAATTAATTCTTCTTTTTTTATCACTTCTTACTCCAATTGTCTAATTAAGACTCATAATTCGCTGCAGCTTGTAATCAATTGAGTACCGTTAATGTTTGCATAATCCGCCTGAGTGGCCGAGTAGGCAAGAGTCTCGACTAGCAACTCTCAATGGTCGTGGGTTCAAATTCCAAGTGCGGTAGAATTTTTAATAAAGCCGATGCTAATGCTTTAAGACAGTAGTCTTAGAATTAATTCTCTGGCTAAATTTATAATAATAATAATAATAACAATAATAATGTTTCCATACTTCATATACTGTCGCTATCAACGATAAAGCGCGAAGGAGTAGCAAATAAGAAACGCTCACCGTTCTACTGAATATATATTAATCTTATCGCCAAAAGGGAATAAGTTCGATGTTTTGAGAAAATTAGAAAGTTGGCTTTTTTTACAGAACACAAAACTTGAATTGGTTTCCAACTCATTTTAAAACATTATACATTCTTTATAGGTAAACTCATATGCTGGTATATATATAAATATATTATATAAAATAAAAATAAAAGTATATATATTAAAATTCAAAGTTTATGTTTACAGTTCAAAGTTAATATCGACAGCTAGGGAATTTTGAGAGATTTTTGTTGCGGCGCAAAAACATATATTTATTACTTATTCACAACTCATTGGAGTTCCAGGCCATTCCATACGTGTAAGTATTCGCGCCTGTTCGCGAAGCAATGTAGCTCATTAATTTCAACTTCTAATTTATTTTTTCTATCCAAAATGCTATTTGACTTCATCTTGCTTCGTTAAAAGTTTTGCACAAATTTGTTTTTATTTATAAATAACCAAATGTCAAATTTGCCCATTATTGTTTCGAAATAAATTTCGAAAGGCGAAAGCTATACATAATTATCAACTAAATGACTCGCACGTTGCTTCTTCTTGCTTACGTTAGATAGCTAAAAGATGCATAATCAGTGTCCTAATTTTAAACAACAACCTAAATTAATCGTTAACTTTATTAAGTTCCAGAGGGACAATGCAAAAAACCTTATTTTCTTACTGTGCATTTATTAAAACCGGGCAAATCATCTGTGGTTCTTTTCTTTTTTTTTTGGTATGTTGAATGAACATCTGTTGTTCAGTCACTGAACATTCAAGAAGAAGAAGAAGAAAGGTTTTCTAATAGCCACTGTTTTTACCTATGCGGATTTAAGCCTGCTGATTTTTTATCGAACAATGTTAACGCTACATTTAAACTTAAGTATATGCTTAAAATTAAGGCCTTTATTAAGATTTATAGGCACTAAAACACAAATCGGTCTGCGGAATGAAAAGGAAACAATTGATGAGAAGCCATTACCCCAACTGACTGAAAGTAAACTTATGGAAGAAATGGGCACACCTAAAACTGGTCGTCCACGAATCGATCCTAAAGAGACTTCAATAGTTTTATTCCCCGGGCAAGGCACGCAATATGTGGGTATGGCAAGCCGATTAATGCATTTTCCTGAAGCCCGTCGTATATTTAAATTAGCCAATGAGGTGCTAGGTTATGATTTACTCAAATTGTGTTTAGAAGGTCCTCGAGAAAAATTAAACCGTACCGAGTACGCCCAGCTAGCTGTAATGGTGTCTTCTTTGGCTGCTTTAGAACAGCTACGTGAAGAGCGCCCTAAGGCAATTGAATCTTGTGTAGCTACAGCCGGATTTAGTTTGGGAGAATTTACTTCCTTGGTTTTCGCTGGATCTCTGCCCTTTGACAAAGCATTAAAACTAGTGCAAGTGCGTGCGAATGCGATGCAAGTAGCCTGTGATCAAATACCGGGAGGCATGGCTATGGTATTGTATGGACCTGATTCAAATATAGGGACAGCTTGCGTTAAGGCTCAGCAATGGTGCGTTGACAAAGGCATAGAAAATCCCCATTGTGGAGTAGCGATTTATATGTACCCTCATTGCAAAGTAGTAGCTGGTAATGTGGAAGCCTTAGAATATTTGGAAAAAAATTCAAATGCTTATAAAATTCGCCGCATTAAACGTTTGCCAGTCAATGGAGCATTTCATACACCGCTTATGGACAGCGCTGTAGCCCCTTTTATTAAAGCTTTGGAGACTATAAAACTAGAAGACCCGCTTATCCATGTCTATTCGAACATAGATGGTAAACCTTATCGGAATGCGGCCGGGATCATACGAAAGCTGCCAAAACATGTATGCCAATATTCTAGCGAGATTTTAAAGATCTTTTTAACGACTTATTTATTATATGTTTACAGATTGTAAGGCCAGTCAAGTGGGAACAAACATTGCACGAAATGTACGAACGTAAACAAGACACAAATTTCCCGCGAACATTTGAATGTGGCTCTGGTAAAGGCCTGATAGGTATTTTAGAAAAAGTCAATGCCAAAGCAGCCAACTCGGCCTTCAGTGTAGAAGCGTAACGTATAAATTTATTAAGAATGTATTTGTTTTAACTTCAATTAACTTAAGTTGAATAATTACGTGGGAATTTAATGGATCGAAAAAAGTTTTGAGCTCTTTGATCTCATACGCGTTTTGTTTTTAAGGAATTTATTGTAACTTTGATACTTGATAAAATTATTCAATCTATTGATTAAATCAAATTTACAAAAACTTGAAAAAAAATAAAAAATAAATTAAAAATTTTAGGACAAATTTTAACTTTTTTCATCACGAGAACGCATGCGATGCACGAAGGCAGCACCTTTGTTTTTGCGAAAGTTCTCAAAAGGATCATTGAGATTAACGCCAACGCCCTGTAATTAATGTGCCTTTAACTAGATATTTTTTTTTACAAATCAGCAAATGTAACTTACTTTATACATGTCTTTACGATCGCGAGGTTCTCCGGCCGAAATAGGTTGATCGATGCCTTGGTTTTTAGTACCTAAACCGGTACCAGTCCCGGCCCAACCCATTTTCATTAACATTTGATGGCCTTTGTTAGATTCTTCGATGAACTCATTGGTTTTGGCAAAACTATTGCTGCTATGAATTAGAAAAAAACAAAAACCTCAAACCTTTCTAAATTTATAAAGAAGCAATAGGAGCAGGACTGAGGCGAGTGTAGATTTTTATTCAAATCTTATAACAACATAACCCGAGATAAGCAATGTTATACAAATATATATATATATATATGTCATTTTTGATTGCAGCACAAACTGAAGATTCATTCGCTTAATACGTCGGCAGACGGTAAAGCTTCAATTGTTATTTTAATTGTGTGTCACAAAATGGCGAGAATGTTCAGCAGCATCCAAATTTGAAAGCCCATTGCTATCCGCTTGCAATAATAATTAATTGAAAAATTTGATACACACTATGGTGATAAGATATTCGGACTGTTTTTCCAAAATGTAGTTAATTAGTTCTCGGATGTTAAACTTTCCACCAACTAAAACTAGTCAAGAAACCCTCGTTCAGAATTAATTTTTAAACTATTGATTACCAATATTTTTAGATTGTTTCTGCTCACCCCAGGCAAGAGCGAGCGCAATTGTAATTTCAAAAGGTAATGTGATCGTTAATTCTAAATGTACTAGGAGTGATTCTACGATTTGCAAGGATTCGGATAACATAATGTCTGCAACCGATATATATATAATGATCAAGTGTGGCATAAGCTCTTAGGGATATTAAGAAGTGATATGATATCCATTTCATAAGTCGATGAACTCATTATCCACTACTAACAAATATATTTTTTTATATTTTTATTGTTGTTATACGTTTTGCGTAAATATGTGTACTCACAAAAAACTAGGTGGAGTAACTGAGCGTTCACGTTCCCGTTTAATGGTATTTTTTTCACGACCTTCGCGACTACTGCCTGCTGAAGACTCTCTTTCACGGTCGCGTTCTCTTTCACGTTCGCGGTCCCTGTCTCTGGCTGGAGACCGACGGGGTGAACGACTACGCCGACTACTACTGTAACGGCTACTGTTTCGCGATTGTCTATCTCGTGCGGATGAAGATCGTGCTGGTGACCTAGAACGGGTTCTTGAGCGTGAACGAGACCGAAGATAGGGCGAACGCGAACGACTGCGACTTTTTGATCTGAACATATAAAAAGTATTTGCTTAATACGAATAAACATACAATCAAACATGAGTGATTTGTTTACCTGTAACAACGTTTGTTAACCTTTTTCGGTTTTTGTTTCTCCAATATGATGGGACTGGGTGAACGGGACTTCTCTCTAGTACCATTCTTAATCTCCTCCTCTTTTTGCTTTTTAGCGGCATTTTTAACTTTATAATATTCATAGAGTCCTAATTTTTCCCAACCCTCACTGTTAAAGAAAAAGATATAAATAAGATTTCAAAAATTATATGGAAGAATTATCGGTACTTGTCGCGTGGTCTGTCGTGCGTGGGCATCGAATAAAAAGCAGCTAAAGCATTGGTCAAACGTTCATTTTGAGGCGCTGGTGGTGGTAAACGTATATCAGTAGGATCCAAAGGCTTGTAACGATAATCTTCAAGCCGTATTAAAGGGACCATAAGACCAGCGGGCAAATCATAATAGGCAGCCAAAGGTTTTTGTTCTTCTGGTTCCATTTGCATACGCGGCGCTGGTGGAATAATTTCATTATCATCAGTGTCTCCAGGCAGAGGATGTAATTCAAAACCACTAAGTAACTGTTGTTGTTGTTGTTGCTGTTGTTGTTGTTGTTGTTGCTGTTGTTGTTGCACGAGTTGTAACGCAACATTTACACTCATTACGTCCAAATTCAGACCGGAAGCATTATTGACTAAATCTGCAGCATTAATATTGGAAGTTGGATTATTTATATTTTGATTTCCTGGAATGTTATTGATTTGCCCGTATTGGGCTGTCGGCATCATTTGTGAAGGCATTTGATTGGAAGCTGTCATTATATTAGTGGGCATGACGCTAGGGCCAGTTGGACCAGCATTAGACCCCATAAAACCAGGTGGCGGCTTAGATAAATCCGGAATGAAGAAATTCTTTGGTACTCCTTCATTCTGATAATGACTATTATTGGTCTGTTGATTTTGATACATATTACCTACAACGCCTCCTGAATTGTTGCAGTCCATTTGACCATCCATTAAAGGCAAGGATATCTTTTGATTCATCAGTGAAGGTATTTTATTTTGTGATGGTTGTTGCTGTTGTTGCGAGGTCTGCTGTGCTGGCACAACAGCCGAAGGTGGCATTATCGAAGTATTCGGCATAACCGTTGCGAGCATTTGCTGCTCCAGCTGCTGCTTTTGTTGCTCCAATTGCGTTATTTGTTGCGTTGCATGTTGTATAAAAATTTCATGCTGCTTTTGATAACTAGTGATGATATGAGGGGAATATTAGCATATTTTCTTAAATTGAGTTCAAATTGATTTCATTTTGGTAAACTTACTTTTCTAATTGTGCTTTAGTGGCTTGAGTAAATTTTGAGGTTATGTCATGGTGTTGATTTTGCAAATTTGTTTTATATTCTTGCATTGAGGAGTCTGGGGATTGTAATTTTGAAATAACGCAGGCATCGAAAAATTTTGCCTTCGACTCCCACAACGACAACAATTTGGTTAATTTTGTTCTCTGCTCACCATTTGCAACTATAATCGGAAAAGAAAATCTGTAATAAATACACTCTTTTCCTATAGTAAATTCACTGCGAGATTATACTTAGATCAGCACTGCAAAACATAGGTATGACTACATTTTCAAGACAATTTTTCAGATCATTGGCATTTTTACGCACACTGTAAAATATAAATATTTTAATATTGGTAAAGACAATAGCTAATGGATTTGGATTTTTAATATAAATCAAGATTTTTTGCTTTATTGAATCATTCGAAAAACTATGAAGCGATATTATTGCGTCTACCGATTTTTAACGCGCAAACCTATTTTTATATTATTAGTCTGTCACTTTAATATTTTAAACTTTTACAAATGTTTCCGAAGTTTAACGGTTCGTAATATTTACCAACAAAATTCATTTTATTTACAATTTCCTTAAGAGATAATGGTTGAAGGAAAATCTATCGAAACTTTACTTTTATAATGAAAAGTTATATTGTCCGCCTCAATGCCCGCAAGTATCATTCGATAATAAACACTGAAGAACTTGTAACGATATCCAAAGAAGTCTGCTTCATAGAACCCCCAAAACTTCAGGACAGTAATCACTAAACCTAAAAGATAATATATTCATCCCATACTTTTTGCCGTTGTTTACCCGCACGGTTATGCGTGTTTCTTCTGGTTACGTAATTGCTATCCGTAACTCTATCTATTTACCCAGATCGAATACATAAATCATATTATTCCTCCATTGCCTCCCAAGCAAGTCCGACTATCACAATTTTCAGAGCCAATACTTGTCCGAAGTTATGGATCTAATTTTCTATTGACTAGAGACTCTTCACTTTGGGGATCAACTGTGAATATTGGTACACTCTGTTGAGAAGTTTGGATGGTCCTGTCATAAACTTTCACGACCCGTGGAGAAAATATCAACACAACAGTAAATGTCCATACCCTTTTAGCCGATTTATCATATCGTTTCGATAGACTTCCTCCTTAGTAGGACTATAAAACAGAAAAGAAAACTCTTTCGATATCTCCTGATGGCTAATATATGGCAGTTACTGTTGCCAGGACGAGCACAAGGCTTATATTTAACAAACGAACGGATATTCAACAAGTCTCGGAATTGAAGCCCTATTCCCTTTCTTTCAATTATTTTCAAGTGTTTTTATACATTATTTGTGTATGTAAATATATATTTTTAATATAATTTGAAAATTTTCAGCTTTCGCCGTGACCTTAGCACCGACTAAGTCGTGATCAACCACTGTTCACACGAAACCCTTGTTCACTTTAGTCATCAAACATTTCATTCGATTATTTGCTGCTTCCATCAATATCTGTATTAGTGGCGGCTCCATGTAGGCTTATGCCAAACACTTCTACGATCGCCGTAGTACCCTCGTACTCACGCACAAAGGTTTTAAAGTTTGCAAATCCAAATTAATTGAATTTCAAACGTTTACTTAAACGATAATGTATAGGTGTACGACTTAAGCGCTGTTCATTTTAAGGGCTAGTTGCTTCGGCAGGTCAGTTGTTACATACTGCTCAGCGGATTGCGACTTTCATGTGCACCGTCCTGCTGTTCTAAGCAACCAACACCTTTCATGGTATCCGCATAAGTTGCTAATTTGACTCGTCTCATAATGCTAGTTCTGCTTACCAAAAATGGCCCACTGGCCAAGAAAGGTGAGTTTCTTACACATTTACCGTTTGAGAATAGATGACTTCTAATCATTCACCTTCCCAGATAAGATTATGCAACATAGCTTTTAAGTGCACCAACTATCCTGAGGTAAATTTCGTAGCGGATCAGCCACTAGATGGTTCGATTGGTCTGTTCACTGATTTCAACCTCATCAGGTAGAGTTTACTATTTTTAGAGTTACGTACATATGCTTAAAGTACATTCTAGATAGATGCATAAAAAATATAAATATTATTATACATAACTGCGTAGAAGGCCCAGAGCTTGAATTAATAGTCTTAAGTATGTATGTTAGAACTAAAAATTAATCCCATGTTGATTTTGTAAGGTTTTTAAAAAACCTAAAAACTTGGAAATATTTTCTGAATCCTTGGTCCGTGTTTCAAGATGGGTGTCGAAGGCATCTCGAACGAACCTTTCGCATCGTAAATCATATAAGTGCGTATAATAAACATAAAAGCCATTGATTTACATGTCATTATGAAATATGTAAATATATTTAAGCACTGTACAAACAAATAAATTAATTTTGTCAAAAATCTATCAATCTGTGTCGAAATACAGATTCAATAATAATTTGAATAAACTTTAACGCTAATGATTAAATGATCAATTTTAACGTTAGCCCGTTGACGTGAATGACTTCTATGCGTGTGCTTGCAGATGCATACGACATCTGTAGCAATCCTAGATTCTTAATGTTATAAAACAGAAAAAAAAAAAAAAGAAGTGTTCAGCGATTTTAAAATGAGCGTCAACATGATTACATCACTAGATTGCAATCCCTTTGTATGGGAAAAATGTAGACCATTAATATAATTCATAATAAGGACTTTTCCATAGGGGATATTCGGGATCATCGGGCTTAACGTCTAAGCAGTTTCACGTACTATTTAACTCCCTATTCAGAGTTATTTTCAACTTTCTCTCATGATACTCGCTTATTATCGATCTCATGATTATATTTATTTTTAGAGTCTCTCTCTCTCTCTCTCTCTCTGACTCTAGTAAGCATTAACGTTATGCGGGACTAGCAAGGTCCATGGGTGAATGGCCTCACTCAAGGAGAACCGTTAAACCGTTAATTTCTCATATTAGGATTCGAGACATTCGAGACATTTGCCATTTAATACAAAGTGACCTAGTGCAGAAATGTCCCCTTTTCGCTTAAACAAAGCTTCAAAGGAGAGTAATTTTTCATCCGTTCTCAGTTGAAGATCATTTTCTAAATGTAAGTACATTCCCTTATCACATGGAGAATTAAGTTTAAATGTCCACAAATAATTCTAAGATTTCATAATGGAACCAGTTTCATAATGTTTGTCTGCGTGCCTGTCTGTCTGTCTGTCTGCCTGTCTGCCTTGTAGGCCTTCGAAAGCAAGCGCTAACAACAAGGGCAATCTTTTTCATTAATTTTTTCAAACTAAATGACAAAAGTCTAGACTTCTTAATTAAATGCTCACTTTTGCTCACGCTAATAAAATGTCCATGACATATGCGAAAAGCAAGGGGTGGCCATAATATAATGCCATATATAAATATGACCTTCAAAGTGTACATCTACCTGCAAGCTATACAGAGGCGGCGTACAATATATTCGATACCATGTATAATTGATATATCGATTGAATGGATTTTTGGTCTTTATCTAATCGACGGATCATTTTACACGATTCTATTTTATATTATTCCTTGATGCACTATGTTGGTGTTGTTACAAGCGTTCGTACACTTTAAGAGCGCATATGAAATTATTTATTAATAGGTATTAATTAACACAGGTTAGGTATAAAATTATAAATAATTAGCGGAAATTTTTGTTTGTTTCCCGAATGATCCAATTAGAGCGTCTCGATGCTTTTTTTTTTTTTTGACATTCTTTCTGCCGTTAATAGAATGGAATTATTTTGAGTATTTTTTTATAGTCTTCCCCTAATCCATCTATTATAAATTAAATATTACGAAAAAAGGAAACACAACTTACCAATGATGAAGTATATCATTAATTAAATATATAAGATGTAATTTTGTTGAAAATGTTGAACCATTGACCAAAGCCCTAAAAATAAATCAACAAACAATATTTCTAATGTGCATGTGAGTTTTAGTAGGTAATGATGAAGTTGTATGGAGTTTTTCTTTTTTCTCTTGTTATACAGTCGTAAAGAGTCTACTTTATATATCTGGTTACTAGTGACGTTCATGGTGTTTTCTTTTCTTTCCGTTTCTTTACTTTTTGTTTTCTTTTCTTCTTCTCTTTTTTAATAGTTCAAATCTCTTTCAAGTCGTAATTCAAGTTCAAGTTCAAGTACAACTGTAATAATAAGTCTATTAGACGTAGTATATATATATATATATATATATATATGTATATATATATCGTTATTCAAAAGTTGTCGACAATTCAATACATAACGTTTCAAATGGAATTCGCTAGGCCATTATGCATCCTCTCATCTAAAGGACGCACACATACACTCAAGTTTAAGTTAAGTAAAAAACTTGTACAAAATTAATTAATTAAATAGTTATGGCAACAGAAATTAAAAATAAAACTTAAATAGCTGACGCATACTTTTTTAAAAGATATTGTAAAACGACATTGTTTTTTGCGCTGTCGGATGAATGCTGTAATATCCAGTTTTTGCCTAAAATTGCAACATTAAAAATATTACTTCATTTGCAAAAACCAATAATAAAATTTAATTTTTTTTTTTTCTTTTTTGAATAACTAATTCGTAAAAACAAATGAATAATAAAATTAATTGTTTATCTTTTTTTTTTTTTTTTTTTTTTCTTTTCTTTTTTTCTAAACTTGCTTTATTTTAATAAATGATTTTATTTGAAATAGTTAAAAAAAAAAAAATATTGGAAAAAGTAAGGAGAGTATTTACCTGCTGATATGCTATCCTTTGTGCAAGAATCGATAATGGGTTGGAGCACTGCATCCATTTCTTTCAGTGAAATATTTCTGACCTCCGCTTGTTTTTCCAATTGTGCATTTTGTGCCGCCTCAATGGCTTCTTCAATTTGTTTCTTTTGCTGGCCCATCAATGCCTAAATATCCGTCAGTCACATTTTAATGTTTTCAAATGTACATTTCATTGTACATCGATTGATTGATTGATTGATTGATTGATTGGATTGTTTGTTTGTTTGTATTCACAGTGAATGGTTTGGATTTTTGTAATCAATTGAATTGATTTAGTTTGGTATCAAATGTATGTAGAAGAGATTTTTGATTTGGTTTTTGGGGGATTTTTCGGTAATTTTTTTGTTTAATTTTTTTTTTTCAATTTTTTTTTTTTTTATATAAAAGATACACAAGTAAAGTAAAATTTTAAATGTAGATAATGTTGATTGAAATAATATGTTTTTTAAAATATATAAATATGAAAAAAAAATCATTATTCTTTTTTGGATACTTATTACTGTTGCTTATAAATAAAGAAAAGAAGAACTTTCCAAATTTTAAAAACTGATTTGAATGCAGTGGAAATAACGAAATTTTTCGAAACCAACGATATAAATAAGAAGGCTGAAGTGTTTGAACTGCAGAACTCCATTTTTCGATAACATATATATATGATATGGAAAATTTCTAGTAATAAGATTCCGAGGGTCGGATAATTTACATCATACTCTACAAAGTTGAAACTTTATTGAAGGGTATCCTTTTTTATTATTAAGACTATTAAGTTAATGTCATCAATTTTCTCTCTGTATAAAGGTTTGTGCCATTTTCCAAACTACTTCATTCCATTGAATTTATTTAGAATAACCAGATGAAGATTCAGAATATCATGAGAGAGGTAACGAACGAGTTTTCATTTTGTATATGACTGTACTCGGCGAAATTCAACAAGTATTATCGTTTATATAAGTAAACGGATACAAGCACCGAATCTCAAATAGGCAGTATGGCTAGTATAGTTAGGAGTAAAACCAATAATTTTGCGAGATTTAGAACTAACAACTGGAAACGTTAAACAAAACACTTGTGTGCTGAAGATTGAAAGTTGTCGCAATATGCACACAATCTTGCTCTTAAGATCTTAAAAATTATAACTTAAAGGAAAGACCGATCTAAAAATACCGAATTTGCTTGGATACACTAACGGGGGAAAATTTCGATGGATGAAATTCGCATTCGTTTTGCTGGTAGCACTAGCGTTGAGCGTAGGAGAATAACCACTATTATTTAGAAATTGAAGACTGCGTTGACATTTTAAATATTAATTACGATACTTAACTATACGTTAAGCTTAAATAAAAAACCTCATATTTTTCTTGCCTTTTTCAGTTGTTACTTTTAAAAAAGTAAGAATGTTTTGGAAATTTTCAAAAAAAGATATGCTTGGCTCAAAGAGAGAATGCACCCAGCGACAGTGACCGACAGTGACAGTTTTACATGTCGTTCATTCTGATCGCATCGCAGAACTTTTTTATTATTATTATATATTAATATGGCTTTAAGCTATGATCATTTCAATTGCTACAGATATTTAACAGAGCATTTCAAATCGTTTGTGTTGGCATAGCTTCTATTGGGCACTTAACACGCTCATTACTAATAAAGGCTATTTGATCGAGGTTGCTATCTCTAAGTGAATTGCACTTTTCGCTTCTTGTGAAATAAACAAGAAAGCAAGAAATTATCTTTTTCATCCTTCCGGACAGCAGGAACCAGGCCACTATTAACAGCTGAAATATTTATAATTTAAGGATGGATGTACAAATATATATTTCAAGCTACAACGTAAAACTAACGGGCCGACCTCAAATTTATTTTCAAAGTCGTTGTATGTATTTTGTCATGCTGCTAAGCGCATGTTTTGCAATTACGATTTAAGCAATTAGAGGCAAAGAATACTGCCTCTTAGCCTCTTTGTGAATGACTGACAAGAAAGAGGGAATTAAGCCAGTCGACATGGAGCGCTGTATATATACATATAATATAAGGCAAATAACGATATTGATCGGATAAAAATCCGCAATTCTTTTTATCAAAAACTTTATGGTAGCTTTCATGAAGCTATCGAGTTTTTTTTTATACATGTACGTTTAACTGAAGCTGAACATAGTTTAATAAAATTATAAATCTGTATTGCATGATCAATATTTAGCGTAAAGTGTGAAAAGTCACGATACAGATTTCATTTGTAGTATAAACCCTATGCAATATTAGAGTTACAGGATTACTATCAAAAGTAAAAAGTGGAGAATTTTCTACTTTACTATAGCGAACGCTAATGCATAAGTGACATACTAGATAATTCATTTTACTTGCATGGTCTAGAGTTAATTATCGAAACCTACTAGCAAATCATATGCTGTCCATCCATTTTGCTGAAATCACAAAGAACACTTTAAAATTTCATTTACTCTCATATAAGTTCAAAAGCAACTTATGCCATCGTCGGATACGCCCACAACTAGTGAAAATCTGATATCCTTCGTGATGGTTTGGGCAACACCTTTCAGATTGTTGCTTCTGCAGTTAGAATTCAGACTAAGCTTCGATTCTTGTTTCTTCATTTTATTTTTTTTAATACCTTTCCCGGATTACATTGTTGTAGAATAGTGAATTTGAATTCGGAGAACATAGATTGAAATCAAGTGAAATTTGTCAATAAATGGTATTATTTAAAAGTATTTGTAGAATTTAAAACTTGTCGACAGTCATGTCATATTATTAACATTTGAGAATGTAGGAGTCTATTAAATTTTTTCAAGTGTATTTGAACTATACATATATAGTCGTTCAAAGAAATTAAATTGACTTTTTTTTAGAAATTATTTCTGCATTCGATGTTCCAACTTTGTGGTCGATTAGCTCGTGTGTAGACCAACCATTGAAATGAAATTAAAATTCGCAACTGGGAATATTTTTAATTAATCAAGTGAAATACAATTTGGATCTTTTAGCGCGTGCTAATTTAAAAAACTTTTCAGCAGCAGTTTCATAGACAAATATTGAAAGAAGGGATGTCGTTATTTCAACGAATAAATTGCAACCACTTGTCTAAAGAAAAATGCAGATAAATAAGGTGAAATCATTTCGAAAAAGATGTGATGAAAACGATAAGAGCTTTCTTCCCATAAACATAAATGTATTAATACAAAAACATAAATATATGTATATATTTCCCACACAAAAAATTTATCCTAACTTCTTTGTTAAATATAATAATAAAGTAAATGTTTTTGGAGCAAAGTATTTGAATGAATTTAAATCAAATAAAAGATTTACCGTATGTTGTGCCGTTAAATTTGATTCTGATTGCCGAATTTGTTCACGTAAGCTGTTCTGTTGCATATTGATAGCTTCAATTTGGGCGGTTATATTTATAGCTAAGGAATTATTGGTGTTTGTGGGTGCTGCAGGTACGACCACTGCATTGGACTGCGATATGTTTGAATTCCACATTTGATGATTTGGCGGCGGTTGATTCATTGCAAAAGGATTGGTATCATGATTATTTGATAATTGATTTTCTGAATGATGCATCATATTAGGCGGCGGACCTTGCGTAAAATGCGGAGGTGGTTGTTGTTGATTAAGCATGTTATTACCACTATTACATTGTTGCTGCTGTTTTAAAACTGTAAAATACGTTTGCCTTAAAAAGTCTTAAATAATACAAAACCGCATTCGCTTATGCTTACAATTTTGTTCGGCCATCACTCTGCACTGATAATAGGCCGCATGTTCACCACCATAAAGAAATTCAAATTTGGGATTATTTTGTTGTTTCTGTTTGGTAATCATTTCAAATTCTGGTCCATTTCGTGCCACAAATTCAGCCAATTTATCGATAATATTACGTAGACTAACATCTACAAAAGTTAAAAATTTAGAAAAATTCCTTGCCTTCACATTTCGACAATTCGTTGATTCGTTGGTCTCTCAGTCGATTCAGTCAATTTAGTACTACGTCCTAAATTTCCCGAAATAATTACCTCGTGGTGGTGGTGGACCATCCATTGCTTCTGTTAGTAAATCAAATTCTTACTTTTCAATATTTTATCAAGGAGAATTTTAAAGATTTCCAAATAATTTCATGCTAAGCTGTCAAAAATTGTAAAAAAATTCCAGGACGCCATTACTGAGACAGGGCTGTATAAAAGAGGTCTGCTTTGCCTGGTGTTTCGAATCCATTTAGTTTCAGTAAAATGAAAATGTGTACAGAGCAATGATGCCAATTGAGATTGGCACAACTTCTCGTGTTTTCTATACGTAAAAGCTTAATTTAGGCGATTTCAAGGCGCTTTAAGATGTAGATATTACTCGAGAAAATCTGAAAAATACTGGATAATAGCAACGAAAACTTAAAAAATGTTCTCTGTCTTTTCTGAAATGGGTTGACACATTGTTTTTTAGGAGATATCATAATCTATTCCACTCTCACATCCAGTAACATCGTTACATTTGAAACATTCCCTTCGTTCCATATCTGCTGAATTAATCCACATCTACTTACGTCGTGCTCGGCTTGCAACCAAAATCGTATACGTATACATACACTGCGCACACTGAAAAATCAAATTCCATATATTACATATTGATTTCACCCCCTTAATATGAGCGCACAGAAATCACCAAACATATGTTCCTGTAAACAGTAATTCAGACAACAAAAAAGCGCAAAAGCGTACCGTTTTTTAAAAAATTCCATTTTAAATATTACTTTGACTACAGTTTCTTTCAGTGCTATTATTTTTGATTCATAGATCCTATCGGCAGTTATGACAAACAATTACTTAATTTCACTGAACCAGTCAATAATTTCGAGACCTATATGTAAATTTGTTGATTAAATGTACGTGTAAAATCTGGTGAGATTCGCTTTGCACAGACTGATGAGGAATGCGGATTAAAAAAGACAGAGCCTCGTTTTTGGATAAAAAGTATGTTTTTATTTATATTCCTATGTACATTAATATATTTTTCCAAAAATTTGGTATAAAGGACACAATCATAGCAATTGACTGCGCTCACCTTGCAATTGTAACCCAAAAAACCAATGACAATGGGGCAACGCTGCTTTTTTCTTGCGAGCCCTACGATCCAGTTGATTGGCCCAATGATTAAACGACTGAAAATAAAATGAGCGATATTTTATATAAATACGTAACTGGGCTTATTTCATTCCATTTCTATGCCCTTCTAGTAGGTCCACTCATACCATTTAGCTTTTTAGCTAGTACCCCCCTTAAATTTTTCATTTGCTCTTGGTTTGTCGACTTATTTTATTTATTTATATTTCTGGGTATTTTTCAACGAACGCTAAATAATAATTTAATTGCTCCTGGATTTGGTAGCTCCTTTATGATCTACACATACAAAAAAATAATAAATCAATTGTTATTGTAAAATTGTAAAATAATTAAGAAATTTACCTTGAATGTTTCAATTTTGAAAATGGAAAACACTAAGAAAAAGGTTTTGTTATTGCAAACCCGCTTATTTTTTTTTTTTTACCGCTTCCACAATTTCCATAAACTAACAGCTCTGTTTTAGCGCAAAATTGTTTTTATTTTTATACGAAATAAGTCACAAAGTGACAACAACTGTGACAATCAAAGCCTTAGAACCTTAGTTATTGTTCTTCTTGAAAGAGATTTTTCAAAGGATTGTGTTGAAATAAAATCCTTTTCTTCCAAGTTATGTAATGTCAATGATTTTTGGTTACCTCTTTCTGATCTTCTTCTAAACATTTCGTAGCCATTCCTGCAGGCCACAAATGTAATTAATTCCCTATTTTCATACTCATATTCACATGTTTTAATCTTTAATTTTAAACAATCGCATTTTTGCAATGTATCTTTCAAAATAAACATGTTTGTAACACCATTATTTATCAAAACTTCTCTCGAACAAAATCTCAATAGATCTCAACATACTGATTGCAAATTTTTTTTAAGTGAAGAGATACCGTTAAATTTTAATTAATATTATCATTAGGTTGAAAATGACTTGTGTCACTTTCCAAATGAACGGCTCATAGCTATACAATCAAGCTAATCGTTGACTTTATTAAAGTTTAAATACAGAACTCCGTGTTCGCATTGAACCTCCTTTACTCGACTTTGTAAATCATCTGTTGTTGATATACTGACTCGCAGAAGAAGAAGAAGAATGAAACTGTCAGTTTAATTGCACAAAATGAGGAATTAGGATAGCTATTTATTAACCAATTGTAACCGAAAATACTTGCTGGCAATAATGACGACAAGTAGTATAACTATAATTGATGATAGCAATCGTTATACAAACATTATCGGGAGCAATGGAGGCGGTGCACAACCACGAAAACTATTACGGAGTCAAGAGGCGGAAACACAAGAACTACGCATCTTATGTTTTGATTTAACATATTACAACAAGACTACAAAATTCCTTTTGAGTTGTGCAGGAGTGTTTATATTGTACCTTATGTATGGTTATTTGCTAGAGTTAATTTTCACAAGGGAAGGTTTTAAATCAATTGGTTGGTTTTTGACTTTAATCCAGTTCGGTTACTACATCTGTTTCGGTTTACTGGAACGCGTTTTCGATGCGCAGCGGAGTGGCGTGACTACTTTGAAACGTAATATACCATTACGAACTTATGTGATATTAGCCGCTTTAACATTGGGCACAATGGGCTTTTCTAATTCAAGCTTAGGATACTTAAATTTTCCCACTCAAATTATTTTTAAATCGTGCAAGCTAATACCTGTGATGGTAGGCAGTATTTTGATACAAGGAAAACGATATAGAACTTTGGATTTTCTATCCGCTATAACAATGTGCATCGGGTTAGCCTGGTTCACTTTGGCCAACTCTCAGATATCACCAAATTTCGATATAATAGGGGTGGTCATGATAACGCTAGCATTGCTTTGCGATGCAGTAATTGGCAACGTACAGGAGAAAGCTATGCGTGATTATCGTGCACCAAGCCATGAAATCGTCTTTTATTCTTATGGCTTGGGTTTTATTTATTTATTGGCGGTTCTGTTAATAACGAATAATTTTTTTAATGGTTTGGCTTTCTCCCTACAGGTATTTTTTAAAAACATATATATATTAACTTAATACACATTGTTTTAACTTAAATGCATTTTTAGCATCCTCGTGAATGTTTTGGTTATGGGTTCCTGTTCAGTTTGTCCGGTTACCTTGGCATACATTTTGTTTTAGCATTAGTAAGAAGTACTGGTGCACCTATAGCTGCCACTGTAACGACTGCAAGAAAAGCGGTCACAATAGCCATATCGTTTTTATTCTTTAGTAAACCTTTTACAATTCAGTAAGTTTACTTATAATCCCCATGAAAGTTTCTCGACAATCTTTGATTAATGGTTTTTTTCAGATATGTATGGTCTGGTCTTTTAGTCGTTTCTGGAATTTATTTAAATGTTTTTAGCAAAAAATACAAACTTACGCTTGATTATATACCACAAAGAATCCAGCATTGTTTGTTTACAATGGGGTTTCAAGCCAAGTCGTCCAGTCGTAAGTTTCTATTGGAAATTTAATTTGATGGAAATGGTATATTGCAGCATAGTAATAAGAAAAGGTATATATTAAAAAAATTGTTTGACCGTAACACATAGGTTTTAACCAAGTTCAACGTCCATTATACGTTTTGTAATTATTATTATTATTATTTTAATTTTAGACTAATGAATTGAATTCTTAGACTAAAAAAAAAGACATTGAGCACTAGCAACACAGGCTATCGGCTCACGTTTTATAATATTTTCCATTCCTTTAGCTAAGCCGGTGTTTCAATCACCATTTTTAGTTCAGGAAATTTGACTGGCTAACTTGCCAAATCAATTAAGTCCATAAATTTTAAGTACTGTTTTATTACGACTTATGTTAAAATATAAATTGACTTCTTTAATAAATTATTTAATACTGAATGGTCGAAATAATTTTGTCATTCCGTGTTGTTAATACTTATTATTAGTGAAATTTGCTTCGAATATATAGAGTTAAGAATTAGTCAAGTGCTTCTATCGTAGGGAGAAAGAAAAAGTACGCAAATGACATTAATCGATTTGAATAGTCCAGCCCTTCTCTAGTTATAGAGACGTAAAAAGGGTAAGCAAAAGCGTAGCGGCAGACTTGTTTTAATTTAAATATAATTTTGTTTTTCCATAAAAAATATGCATCAGAAGATTAGAGAAAATGAGAACTTGTTCATATAATTTTTATGCTCAAGGAGTATAAATAAAAATAGGCATAAACATTATACACTTAAGATGGAACATTTCCCTAGCAACATTGGCGCGTACTAGTCCAAGTCATCCGATATAAACAAACGATATTAAAGACCGTAAGATAGAGACAGGGACAGAGAGTAAAGACCTGAAATGAGAACATTCACTGAACATTTGTGCGCGAGAGTATCCGTTTTAAATAGACGAAAATTCGTGAGTGCATTTGCACTATATAAAAATACTCGGCATGCTGGCCAAAAGTATTTAACTGTCTGTTTAATCATTTTTTCCTTAACGAGTGGACGTAACGAGTGATTTCTCTATTATTATTCGCTTTATTACAAATATTTAAAGGGGCTTACGCAATGAGGTGTCGTTTTTGTTTTCGGATTAAAAGCTCCCAAATGGGCAGTATATTAATTTAGAATCAAAAATAAAGAAATCAACCTAAACATAAACAAAAAATTTGTGAAAAATAACAGTAAGGAAGATAAACAAGCTTATCTGTTAATAAATAATAAAAAAAATTGATTAGGTAAAAATTTAAACAATGAGCGGGCACTGGATGAGACCACTTTTTGAAATACATGATACTGATGCCGATTTTGCATTGTCGGTTGAGCATAGATAAAAATAATAAACATAAATTAGGTAAACAAATTTAAAATTTAATAGAAACGATCATCATTTCTTCTTATGCTATTTCCCGTTTATTTTATTTGTATGTATGCATGCGAGTCCAGATGATTTGTCAATTCCCATAAAGTGTTGTAAAAAGCCAGTAAAGATGAAGTCGTGACCATAAAATAGGTATATCATTGTGTCGCTCACTAACAATAACGAGCAAGTAAGATTGGATGTGACCGTATCTTTTATGCTCCCACCGCCTTTATCCTAACAAGAAAAGCCTGAAACCAACCAAAAAAGCTTCATCCCGATACCCAATAACATAGCAAAACGTCGAAATTGTGTAAGATATGAATAATTATAAGGTACTATGGGCGTGTTCTTTTGGGGGATTTCACCGAATTTTCAATACCAATCTACGTTGAAGAACTTTCAATGTTCTTGCTAAATTTGAAATCGATATATTAATTTTTGCAGACAGAAGAATGCCTACCGTGTAAATACAAAAAGACTCAATATTTGACAATGATCAAAAATATATATATATATTAGATGTCTATCAAGCTTTTTCGTGCATATTACTGACAGGCACAGTTTTAACAAAAGAAATTTCAATATTCTATAATATGCAGGAAGTGTACCCGATTTTTTCCATTTTTGTGCAAATATTATAGAACTGTTACGGTTTAACTTAATGTAGTTCTTAAGTAACTTAAGTAAAAGGTATAAATTAATTTCTTCCTTTTGAAACAGAAGTGTTATCAAACGGACGCAAGGACATGCTTTAATTCACTCAAATTCGCCTGAGTGGCCAAGTATTCAAGCGTCTCGACTATCAACTCAATGGTCGTGGGTTCAAATCTCAAGTGCGGTAGTGCTTTTAATAAAAAAAAAAAAAAAAAAGCTAAAAGCCTTAGATGCTAGTGCTTTAAGATTTCAGTTTTAGAATTTATTCTCTGGCAAAATGTATACGGATAATAATAATCCACTTAAAATTTGATGTTGATGAAGAATATATATAATTTAAGGCCTCTATGGGGTGTTGCAAACGTTTTGAAAAAAATTTACTCCTATCCTTCGATAGTAAATATAAAAACAGCTGTTCTTGTTAAAACATCATTTTCCTGTTTTTTTTTATAAATGGAAGTTTTGACGATAGACAAAAAGTTACAGGGGCTTCAGCTAATAGCTCAAGAGAAATTACAAACTATTATCTGTTCCATACCTGGGAGGAAGGATTTAATATTAGAACCTTCTTTAATCAAGCCCTTGGAACACATATGTGCGGCTTCATGGCTAAAGTAAGCCCTTAAAGGAATTAACGGAAAAAGAAAACTAATAAAATCGAAAAAAAAAATTATTTTCACAGGCTCAAAGGTATACAGCGCATTTTCAAATTGGATGCCACACATGCCATTTCCCGTTCAGCACCTGATCAGGTCCAATTATATATGTTGCGGAGTGATGCAAGCACATTTCAACGTGTAATGGCTCAAATTAAGGTAGCTTATGAAGCTCAATTACCTACGTGGCCGGAGGACTCAACATTTAAATACTTTCACATGATTTGCGTGCCAGCATGCTTTGCCTACTTTCACTACATGCTAGAGCAGGAAGGTCTTTATGGGATTGTTGGTCTTCATCGCTTTAGTTGGGATTTTATTTATTTAGATAAAGGTGTATTAAGCCTGGAAATTCCAAATGTTAGCGAAAACTGACCGTCACTTGTTATTCAGTATGATTTTAGTATTAAATTTCTTTTATAGGTATTCGCTACGACCTACGTAAATTTGGATAATTCATTATTGACTGCCGTTTCCCAATCTTTGAGAATATTACAAGCGGTTTGTGGCAAGCCAGATTTTGTGTTAACTTATGGGGAACGATCCGACAACATACTAAAAATGTTACAGATATTGGGTCCGCTGCCTAGAAAATCAGAAGATAGTGACGAACGTTTCACCGCGATATTAATGATAGACCGTGATAAAGATTATGCTGCTCCGTTGCTAACACCGTCTATTTATGCAGGTCTACTTATGGAAGTGTTTACTTACAATGCTGGTGTGCTAGAATTTGAAATCAATACCAATAAAATTGTTGAACAGAAATTACCGATATTTGCAATTCCAACAGAAAATCAAAAAAAACCAAAGGCCAATAGTTCTGCATCACACAAACCTTCTATAATACGATTAAATAGTCAACAAGATGAAATTTATGCTGAGAATCGTTATAAACATTTTATTGATGCGAGTAGTCAAATACGTTCACAAGCAAAATTGATTAGCCTGGAATTGCAAAAGTTAGGTAATATGAAACTGGATGAAATGCAAGACTACGTGAACAGAAAATTACCTAAAATAACAGAACTTAAGAATAAGTTGCTGTGTCATTTAAATGCCAGCGAAAAGTTGATTGAAATGTTGGGTACAAATTATCGTCGTACTCAGGCGCTCGAAGAGGACATTCTAAATAACGGTTCACGCAAGCGTGTATTCAATGATATTGACGAATTGCTAACCACTGATCCTCAGCGTTATAATAGTTTAAGACTTTTATGTTTGTTGCATATATGGTCGGGAGTAACCACGGACGAATTGATACGATTCATAAGGAATTATTGTAATTATTTTGGCCATAAATATGCGGGCATATTTGATCACTTAGCTCAAGCGGGCTTGCTACCGCAACTAGTTGAAGATGCCAGTGCGTTAAATAGAACCGCTTCGAAATTATTATCCAACATATCGTTAAATATACCGAAATTTCAACAAACTGCATTTCAAGCTAATGCTTATCGGTTAAAACTTATGACTTCTTCAACTGATAACGATGGAGACAATGGTAACGAAACCGTTTCAGCGACGCCATCAACTTCGTCAGCTTCTCCTAGTTATGTTTTTAATCGCATTTATATACCGCTAATAGCTCAATTATGTACGTACCTTCTGAAAGCTAACAATACCGAGGATTTCGCATCAAAGGTGGCTACAATTGAACATATTAAAATGAATGGTTGCGCTATTAAATTGTATAATCAATCGGTGAAGCAAGGAGAAGTAAAAGAATTATTTCCTTTAAACAAATTACCGATATTAGTTTACGTTGTGGGCGGCGTTACATATGCTGAAATATCTGCTTGCAATATGGTGGCAAAACTAACTGAATCTCAGATTGTAGTAGCTTCAGACCGCATATTGGCCGGAAGTGATTTAATATCATCTGCTTTTTAAAAAAAAAAAAATATATATATATATAGCAAAATGTCTACAAAACGTCATAACATGTCGGTTTACTATATTTTTACAATATTGTATATAAAACTCTTTTCGATTAGTTAATAAATTCTTTCCCCTGAAATTGATTACTGCGAAATTTCTGATATATATGACTTCGAATTAGTTTCAGTTTATCACAAGCCGTCGATATGCTGTAAGGCGCTGTATGCTATCGTGCATGTCAGGTCGCTTGTAGTGAAAATGAAGTAAGCTATGAAACAGCTAAAGATCGATTCGTGAGATTTCATGCAAAATATTGTCGTCTTGAGAACGGTGAAACTCGCATACGTCTTTCCACTTTCAGCGAAAGTAATCCATGAATTGATCTTCAACGTGACCTAGGAACTTTTCACGCATGCGGTGTATTCTCTGAATATTTCGATTATTAAGCTTTGTAATAAGTAAATGCATGGCCCGGCATCGCCCGCCGAAATCCTAACCTACGAAATTTTCTTAAATTATTTATTTAAACAAAGGTACAATACATAATAATATACAATTTAAACTCAATAGATATGTAGCAATGTATACCCCGTTCTATCGAAACCCGTTTTGTGTTGTATCGAAGTCGTGTTTTTTGGGAAACTTTAGAAATAATTTAAATCGAGGCAATACGTACGGTATTATATTGAAGTCAAGTCGTTGAGTTACCTGCTTTTCTAAAAAAAAAAAAATAAATGTAAAATCCAAAAAAACCAAGAATATATTCAAAAACTAATACTGATGGTCATAAAGTGAATTTTCATCAAAAATTACAACTACTCCGTCTTTCTGCTTAAAATTGGTTGAGACTGCTTTTATTAACTAGAAAAGAAAAATAGTGCAAAAGCAATTCATAAAGAATCCAGCAGACTATAAATATTCGGTTCTTTAAAATCGCGTTATTTCAAAACGGTGTTACTATAATTGCAACTTGTGTACCGTGGTCTATAGGCATTACACATATGATGTTGAATATTATTTAAAGAAAAGAAAAAAAAAAAAAACGGAAAGAATTTATTAATACATCTAATATTTTGCATGATTTCTATTCAATACTGTCTAGAAAAAGGAAATTTATTTTTACACTGCTATCGTAATATGTCGGAACACGTTTAAGTGGAACGTCAATCTTTAATATCCTAGCAGTCAAGCATTGAAGATGTGCACATTTCTGTTGGGTTTTTGCATGTACTTTTGCGAAACTTTTTTATTGGGTGCATTTAAACCATAGAACTAATGGTACTGATAAAAACTTTATAAAAGAGAAGAAGAGAAATTTATCAATTGCAAATAATTTTTATTCCCATTTGCACAAATAAACCAATTAACGATGAAATGATAATGTATCATCTACCACATAGGCTAAATAAACACAACCGTTAAAGTTAATAACTTTGAAAAAAGAGAGACAGAGAAAGATAAAGAGAGAGAGAGAGAGAGAGATATAGAGCACAACTATTCGCATTGATCTTGGTCAACTGACAATGAAGGCTCCTTCCTACTTTCTTTATAAAGTGTAATAACTATAACTATCTGACTGCGAAATAGAGTCAACTTAAATGAAAGAAAATCCCAAGCGCTAGTCTATTGCAAACTCTAACTAACTGGACTTCATTTGGCAACGAAATTTCACAAATGATTCGCGTATATAATACCACTAATCCTATGGCTATTAGTTTAGTTGCAAGTGCGCTCCTTACTTCAATTGAAAAATTTGTTTTCTTTGAGATAAATAAATTACAATAAGAATAATAATAATAATTGTTAACTAAAAGGAAAGGATAATTTTACGATTGCAATGTTTTAATAAAGCATTGCTACCAAGTACTCGCATCTCGAAGTGTATTACAAATTGAAAACAATTTTTTTTAATTAAATTTTTATATCTGAAAATGAAATCATCATGAGACGCCTAGAATGTAGATAAATTGCTTATATAATTCGTGGAAAGAAAGTCACATCATAATTATCGGAACAGTAGAAATTAATCTTGATCGGCTGTGAAAGGTTATTCTACTAAGAGTCCATGCCTTCCTAGGTAAGAGATAACTAAACTTAATTAGAAGAAGTATTATGTAGTGAATACAGCCCGAGGAGTGTAACATTTCGACGCTGTTGAGGCATGCAGGGCCAAAAGTTATTATGGCGAAGTCTTTGATAGCGTTTCGCAGTGACGATCTTCATGCACTACATACCATCCTTTCAGAAAATCAATCAAGATTAATTTTTACATTTGACATATTGTCCAGAACGTCTCTTATCTGCCTTCATTTGCCATAATGTGACAATTTAATCGGCCATGGGACATTTTGCGAATCCTTACTCAAAAGGTACAGATTTGATCATTGGCTTTATATGTAAAGAGACTTATTACTTGAATGACGATTTCTCAAATTGATGTCTTTATTTCCATCCTTGGAGGATGCTATACTTGCCTTTCGCTTTATAACATATACGTAAAGGAGATTGTACTCTTCTTCAGTAGGGTTCTAAGTTAATTGGGCAATTTTCACCGTTTCTCGTTTATCGCTAAAGTTAGGTCAGAAAGATGAAACTTTTCATCTCAATATATTGATATAATTGACAGCATGATAATGTGGCCATGATCCGTCCGCTTTAATTTACACGTTTTAAAACTTAATGCAAAAGATTTTTTACCACACCCACTACTAGTTTGTAAAAAGTAAGATTTGCATAAGTAAGAGACTAATAAAACTTTTGTTTAAATACATATATATCTGGTTATAAATATTTGTTTTAACCAGTTCCTCCAAATCTTCAAAAAGCAAGTTAGTCAAGAATAACATACAATGCAAGAAGAAGGACCGAGGGGTCGGTGTTATATGAAGTGACATACTATAGGAGCGCGAAGTACATTCTAAACTGCACATTAATACATGATCGAAAATCGATATAGTGAGAGAAGAAAAAAGTTGCTTTCTTATCTCTTAGAGTAGTGCGAGAGAGAAAAGTAATTGTTTATATAATGCGTATATATATGAGAGTCTGTAAACATAAATGAGATCATATGCGAATGCTTTTTGCACATTTTATTTAACGCTCGCGAGCACTAATGAATTAAATTAAACTGCAATCAAATACCGAAACTCGATCAAATTTAAAGAAGAGATCGCGTGTAACATTTACACAAATATATATTAAAGAACATCGTGTATAATATCATTGTTTTAGAAATGTTGATAAGATCCGACATTTATGATTATTTATTTCATTCGTATTCGCTTAACTGCATTTAACGGATTTTGAAAGGCGAAACCAGTACTTTACTACTTCCACTATTAACTATTATGAGCGTTTGTATTGTGTGGCGATAAGAGGTTGCTAGCAATAAATTAATTCGACATTTTTTTTTAATTAAAAAAAAAAAAATTTAAAAAAAAAAAAAAAAACGATTCAGAAAAATGCCAAAAATTTATTTTGTTGGCGTCGATGTGGGTACTTCAAGTGCGCGTGCAGCTTTGATAAGATCTGATGGCAAAGTTTTGCAAACGATCGCCAAATCTATACGTATCTGGAATACAGAACATGAACATTTTGAACAGAGCTCGGAAGATATTTGGAATGCAGTATGTTCGTGTGTCAAGGTCAGTATGCCTCTTCGAATAATTTCGTAATTTGCCTGCTTTTTTTACTATATTTATTGGATTTGTGTGCATATTTAATCGCATATATACAGAATTTGAATTAAAGCTCACGCTGGGCACGTTTTAAGATAATTTCATTATTTCTTATATATGTGGAGAAGCTATCTATTAAAAGTGTCTCAAAAATTATTTCTATATACTTATATTATTTGTATGTATGTTGTTACATCGATAACGTAACTATATCGGAAATTTTTTAATTGTTTTTGCTAAGCCTTATATACATCTTTAGTATTAATAGTGAAATTTAGTTGAAATGACGACGAAAACTTCAAATTTTTGCCTAAAAGGATAGATTCGTTTTAAACGTGGCCTTCTCACCGTCGTTGGGTTAAAACTTAATTTTTGGATAAAGAACTCCAATTTTACTTTAGTACTTTACTAAACGATCTAAGAACGTTAATTGTATTGTCAAGTTGCCGATTGAAAAGCCAAAATCCGCTCTTGCTCAATTAATCTTCGGCTTATCCTTAACAGCCCTTCTATCAAATAACAAAATTTTTCCCATTTCTTAATCATAAATTTCATAAAAAAGCATAATAACGCTCGATTTTAATAAGGGAAAAATGTATTATTACTTGACATACATACGGCCCGTCGTAGATAAGAAAATGAAATTTGCCTGATAAGGAGGAAGAAGAACATTGGATGTAAGGATATCAACGATCACGAGAATGTCGATGATTAACCGCATTATTCGTTGACATTTATCGAGTCTCCTTTTACCATCTAATTCCCTTTATCTCGTATTCATATTTTGATCAAAGTTGATCCACGTTTCCGTCACAATGAAGCCAGGCATCGGCGAGCAAATTAATCTGCTGCCTGCAATTGCGAATTGGAATAGTAGATTCCTTAAGAATCCATTGGAATGTATGGCAATAGTACGGCTAATGAGAATTCGTGTAAATGTTTGGTTTTCTGACGTTATTTGGATACATACATTTTTTGATCAAACGAGGTTAGGAATAGTAGATTTCTTAATGCGCGGCATGAGAGTGTGCTTAGTGTGTATATGGTAGTGTTTTCTTCTACCATATATCTTTGAAAGTTGGTCATTTCTATTGCTACTAAGTTTGGTTTGCTCGCATATATGACTTAGTAAGTAAAATATTTTATTTTTACCACCTTAGGTGGCATTTATTAATGGGTACCAGCGGCAACTTAAGGAATTCAATTCAGATAGCTTCTATGACCTTCAAATTATTTATGATGGTAGACATTCGTTGTTTATGTGTGTGTGTCGATATTTCAGCCTTGGGGGATATAGTTTCGGTTGTTATAAATGTTCAAGCCTTTGGGAATTACTACTGCACCACCTAGATGCTATGTTCATGTTTGAGTACATCTAAGACATTCAGTGTCAAAGCGTCCTTTCAAAATACATATAATATTTTAATTACAAGTGAGTCAGTGTTAGTAGGGAATAAACCAAATTTTCCTATCATTTATGCAATTATTTTAGTTTGTTACCCGCGATACACCGAAGGACGAGATTGTGGCTATTTCATTTGATGCCACGTGTTCGCTTGTGATTCTAGGGGATAACGGTGAGCCTTTGAGCGTTAGTAACACACAAAATCCTCAACAGAATGTGATTGTCTGGATGGATCATCGCGCGCATAAAGAAGCTGAAAAAATTAATGCCACAAAACATGATCTCCTTCGGTACGTGGGTGGCCAAGTCTCAGTCGAAATGGAATTGCCGAAATTACTGTGGCTTAAAACGAATTTATATCTTTCCACTTGGACGAAAATATGGAGAGCTTTTGATTTACCTGATTTTTTAACATGGCGTAGTACTGACTGTGATTCGAGGTCATTATGTACAGTGATATGTAAATGGAATTACGATGGCATGGCAATGCAATGGAATAAAAAGTTTTTCCAAGAAATCGGTTTGGATGAATTGCTTAACAACAATGCTCAGATAATAGGTCGAATTATACAAGAGCCGGGCACTCCGGTAGGCAAAGGGCTCAGCGAACGCGCTGCTAAAGAAATGAATTTATTACCTGGTATTGTAGTTGGCACTGCTTTAATTGATGCTCATGCCGGAGCTTTAGGCATGTTTGGATGTAATGCCGGACATGCCAGTTGCGTAGATAATTTAGAAGGAAAGTTGGCTTTGATTTGTGGCACTTCTACTTGTCACATGAGCTTAAACCGGGAACCTTGTTCAGCCAATGGTATATGGGGTCCATATCGTGGCGCTATTATACCAAATTATTATTTGAATGAAGGCGGACAAAGCGCTTCAGGCTTATTATTGGATCATATTATAAAAACTCATCCCCAGTATATGCATATTCAGCTGAAGTTAAAGGATGAGTAGGCGCCATTCAGCTTTGCTAAAATAACGAATTCCGACACTTTGTTTTCCCTTCTGCTCTTTTGTAGGAACATTTTTTCGTACTTAAATGAATTGTTAAAAAAAATGGCTAAGGAACGCAACTTAGACGATCCTTGCTATCTGACAAAAGATTTACATGTGTGGCCTGATTTTCATGGCAATCGCTCTCCTATTGCGGATCCCAACTTAAAAGGAATGGTAGGTGGTACCAATAAATGAGAAAACAAAAAAAAAAAAAAAGAAAAAAGAAATCTATATTTTTAAGCAGTCTACAGATTTCAGGTTTAAATATGAATATGGATGAAGAATCGTTGGCTGTGCTATATTTGGCTTTTGTACAAGCCTTAGCGGTAAATAAAATAATAATAGCATGTAAAACAATGCTCCTGAAGTTGCTCGTATTTTTAGTATGGTACGCGACATTTAATTGCCAATTTGTTGGATAACCAACGTTCACCATTCCACCTGCTTCTGTTTTGTGGGGGTTTGGCGAAAAATTTATTATACATCCAATGTCATGCAGATATTTGCCAATTGCCATGCTTGATACCGGACGAACAGGAAATGGTGTTGGTAGGTGCTGCAATGTTAGGTGCATGCGCTGCTAAAGTATACGATGACCTTAAAATCGCTGCAGCAAATATGGGTGGACGCGGTACATTGTTAGAATCTCAAGCAAATACAAAAGATTATCATAATCGTAAATATCAGGTATTCCTGGAAATGTTAAATGACCAAACTAAATACAAACGCATTATGTCATAGTTTTAATTATTGATTTCTCCGACTACATAAATAAATATGTATATAAAAAAAAGAAATAATCACGTCTATATAATTTGTTAATTTGTTGGGATTGTGCGAAAGACTAGAATATTACACACAAAACTATTATAAGGCCCTCCCATTGATTACGATATGAATGCTGCTGATCGTGTATTGATTGGGCCGCGGCATACGGGACAGGTTTCTTTGATTTTTTCGGAACAATCTTCACACATGCAAACGTGACCGCACGGCAGAATGATAACCTGAAAAGTGAAGAGAGTGTTACTTAAATAATCGAAAAGAAAAAAATGTCTGTTCTTTGTAAGACTATCCCGAATAAGCACAACAATGAGCACAATCCGCACAATCTTCCGCTTTCGTGTTTTGACAAAGGACACCTCTATCTCTTTCTACGACAGGCATATGATCTTAAAAATTGCATATTAACGACACACACACAGAGTTTTGTTTGGACACATGTACATTTTAGTGTACTATACTGAAGAATGGGTTTGCGCCGATTTGCCAAAACGCGCAGCGTTCAGTCATAAAGAATCTTAGTTCAGCCCTATATGTCTGTCTATCGTAAGTTGGGATAGTTATGGTTGCATAATTGGGGTACAAAACGTAAACTTAATATATACAGTATATAATATATACAGTATATATAGTGGATCAGATTCACAAATCTGACCATAATCGCACCTATATTAGATAAAAATGTGAATATAATTTTAAATCCGAAAAGCTCTAGAAAGTACTTATCAAGGTAATTTAAAGCTTCCTGAAAAATAATTGCTAAGTCCTCTACGATCTTGTTCAGAAATATTTTCCTTATTATTATTTTTATTTTTTTTTTTTTGTTTTAAATAAAAGGAAAGCGTGAGTTGCGAACCAAATACGTTCTTTGTAGAAACGTGAAAGGGGTTTCGTTTTTATAATTGGAATAAGGATAACGAGTGTGGGAATTCTTTTAAACATTTGGAAAACACTTACTTCCTTTGGATTGGTTGTACAGACAACGCATAATTGATCGTGGGTTAAATTCTGTGGCCTCGAGCGAGCTCGTCGCTTCTTTCGCTCTTTTTCTAGAGCTTCTCGTATGCGACGATCATCGCGCTCTTGTTTTTTTTTCACATATAATTTACGACCTATTACCGATATTAAAACGGCTGATATCGCGCCACAGACAAATATTTTGAAGAGCATTGAAGATTTGGCTTCTTCGAATTTCTTTATTAATGTAGATTTTGTGGCGGTTGTTAAAAATAGGGGACCCAATGGTGAAGGTTGCAAACGTAAAACTTTGCCGTCCAACTCCAATTCACCAACTGCTGTTATAAAGCTACCATCTCTTAATACTTCTTCAGTAGTTTGTAGACCTTTTTGTCGTACTCCGGAGAAAAAACCGAATACGTGGTCGAAGAAAGATAGTGAAGAGGGCTCATAATTATCATAAACAACATCCAGATCGAGAACAGCAGCAGATAAAGCATCGATTATTTCGACACCGGCTTCATTACTACGTAACTCAAAAGGCATCTCATTGGAAGAAGCATGAATAACTTTACGTTGCTCAGTCCAGAAGCCACCGAAACCACGTGCAACGCGATGTTCACTGCAAACAAAATATGCAGAAAATACTTTGTAAGTTCTACGCATTTCCAGCCAACCTTAATTTAATAACTTGCAGGACACCAGTTACCGATGGTGACATAACGCTACGCATTGGAATTCCTATTGGCGTCACCGTACCTCTGATTACCGCATATGGTACTTTCTGATCTTTTTGTTTACCTACATATCGTTTAAGATCGCTGTCCAAAGGCAATTGAGGTGCTTTCTGCAAATTAAATTCTATAATATAAGCTTTTTGTATTGAATTTTGATTTCGTTTTCAACTCACTCTGAGCAGATTAACATGTTTTTTACAACTAACATATTCTCGAACGCACAAACCCAATATCAGTAAATCAACACTCAAAGCCAAACCTTCATGTACAAACTCCATCTTTCGATGATGTTTGAAAAGAAAACTCTTAGGCCTTCTTATTTCGTTTAAATTAATGTTAACTTTTCTAGGAAATTATTTATTAAAAATTTTTCTTAGTTCATTTGTATGGAAATAGTTATCAAATAGCAGATATATTAAAAAAAGAAATGTTTATAAATGACAACACATGTGGCTGTCAGTCAACTGAAGTGTTGTTAAGTTTTTAAAAAAATTAAAAGCGAGCTCTAGAACACAAATTATACGATAATGCCAACCTTGTTCTGAAAACAAAGATTACATTGAGCAATTACTAATACTTATGCAAATTGATCCACCAAATAGGTGTAGGATGACTTTCTTTTCATCGCTTGTCTTGTTCACAATGTAAGAAATTGCTTCTTATGTTTACTCCGATTCCCTGGATTAGTTTCGGCAAGCAGTGGCCTAGTTTAGTATATAGTCAGTAACTTTTACGAATATTTGGTCTACATTTCCCTGCTACGTGTTCCAATTAAAATGAAGGACTTGTGAACGTATGCCAGTTGGTAGCAAATTCGCAATTAAATGATCAGGAAATCGGCAAGACGAAGAAAAGAACAAGACGGCGATGAAAGGAAACGAGCGAACAGAAGGACAGAAACAGAGGTATTTTTCATAAGATACCCTGTATGAAATGTAAAAAATGTTTGACTTCGATGACCAATGACCATTAGACTTTACTTTACTTGGCAGTCTGTTCGAAACTTTCAAACAACATAAAAAGCATAGGACAGAAATGTCATATTTAAGAAATCTCAAGAACGATGTTTTCCGTATATAACGGCATTATTATAAAATGTACATAGTGGTATATTATAAGGAATGGATATAAAGTAGGAGTCACAGAACTAATTCATAATAAAAGGATGAAGGATGACTACAGGGTTTTAAGGCTTGAAAATTCCGAAATGTCGACGTAAAATATACTAATTGGAAAAATAAGAAGTAATTCAAATCGCGTAAGTCGGGATTAATAGATAAATTTCGAAGTATTCATTTAGTCATAAGGATTCTTGTCCACAATTCTGTAAAATATCTTGGTTTACATTTGCTCAAAGATTAATATAGATCATATAGGTCACATTAAAGCTGAACAAGCCAGGAACTTGACTTAAAAACCAGAGGACTCTATTCGCTAATTTGTCCAGAATCTCTTCTTAATCTAGGAAATAGATGCGTTTTGTGCAAAATGTCAAACCGATTCCGACTTACGACATACACCTGTGAGCAGCACTTAGTAACTCTAACATTGAAAAACTTTAAAAATATTAATCTAAAATCCTCCGTCTTGCTGTTAATGCCCCGTGATCTTGGCAATATCTTTTCTGGAGGAATTCAATGAGGTAAGTAGATTGAAAAGACATCATCTACTGGATCTTTCATTTAGAAATTATTTTAATTTTGTTCTTTAAATTATTTTACTGAGTTTTCTTTTTATTTTTCTTTACTGCAATCACAAAAACAAGAAGAAAAAAATTAAAGAAAAGTAAAGCTACTGACTTAAACATGCATATGTGCTCTTTACTGTTTCCATTGATATATACTCGTTCATAAGCTGTAGCGGAGAGAACATTTGCGGTGACGAGTTCACTAACATCTTTTATTGGAATGCATTCCGTCAACTAAATCAGCATGAGATTTTTTAATTACAGCCAAGAAACTCCTTTAATTATTTTAAACCGATCTACGGTTTCACTTAATATGCAACAATTTTTCAGCGCGGCATATGCTGTGATCAAAAAATAAGAAGACTACGTTTTTTTTTCATCGCTACAACAGACGCAGTGGCAGTCGACGTCTTAGTCACAGTAGGCGTAGAAATAGAAATCAACGAAGAAATATAGGTAAAGTGTATATAGGAGTAGGTGCAAAAACAGGAGTAGAAGTAGAAAAATAAGAAGAAGTTGATAGATGAAACGCAGTAGCCAGGTGCAGCGCTGGATTTGGGTGGAGCAGTCGCCAGGTTCAACGCAGCCGATAAGTGCAGCGCTGCATTTAAGTGAACAGGGGTAACATCGTCTTTCAATAAGCGCAGTGCTGCAAATCAAACAACAAAAGTAATGAATGTTGAGAACGCGATTTTGAGCGCTCCATGATTAGTGTCTATAAACACTGAATATCTGAATAACACTAAATTGAAAACTATTTTATATATATAATATATTTTTTAATTTCGTTTTGCAATTATGCGACTTATTCTGAGCGGCCTTCTATTTGCAGCTTTTGTCTAAGTGCATTCAGCTAAGTGCAGCGCTGCTTTCAACTAAGTGCAGCGTTCGGCTAAGTGCAGCGCTGCTTTCAACTAAGTGCAGCATTCGGCCAAGTGCAGCGCTGCATTCCCCTAAGTGAAGCGCTGCATTCCCCTAAGTGCAGCGCTGCATTCGTCTATGTGCAGCATGGTAAATTCATGGTAAATTTCGGTATTGGTTGTTTAATATCTCTTCGTTATATCCTGCAACAAATATAGTGCAAGAGTTTATTAGGTCGGCTAGGTGCAGCGCTGCATTCCCCTAAGTGCAGCGCTGCATTCCCCTAAGTGCAGCGCTGCTTTCCCCTAAGTGCAGCGCTGCATTCGTCTATGTGCAGCATGGTAAATTCATGGTAAATTTCGGTATTGGTTGTTTAATATCTCTTCGTTATATTCTGCAACAAGTAGAGTGCAAGAGTTTATTAGGTCGTCTATGTGCAGCGCTGCATCCCCCTAAGTGCAGCGCTGCATTCACCTAAGTGCAGCGCTGCATCCACCTTAGTGCAGCGCTGCATCCACCTTAGTGCAGCGCTGCATTCGTCTATGTGCAGCATGGTAAATTCATGGTAAATTTCGGTATTGGTTGTTTAATATCTCTTCGTTATATCCTGCAACAAATATAGTGCATGCGTTTATTAGGTCGGCGCTGTCGATAGGTGCCGCGCTGCATTCAGCTAAGTGCAACGCTGCTTTCAACTATGTGCAGCATTCGGCTAAGTGCAGCATTCGGCTAAGAGCATAATTAACTTATCTTTACCAAAACTTAAATTATAAACATAGTAAAACGATTAACGCCATTTACTAACGGAGTTATGTGATGGCCCTAACAATTGCTTCCACCAACTTATTTATTAAGCAAAAGCTTTTTATAGCCCTGACGAATATTTCAACGTATCGTTATTATTTATTGTGGATGAGTTATGATTATGCGAATTATTCTGAGCGGCCTTCTATTTGCAGCTTTTGTCTAAGTGCAGCGCTGCATTGAGCTACGTGCAGCATTCGGCTAAGTGCAGCGCTGCATTCAACTAAGTGGTACATGGTAAATTCATGGTAAATTTC